CTCGTGGAAGGTTCTGGAAGGTGTTCAGGATGAGTCGAGGTGTATTTTGAAGGCGTGTGGGGCACGGTGTGTGATGACCTGTGGGACGAGAAGGAAGCACAGGTGGTGTGCCAGCAGCTGGGCTGTGGGGCAGCCATCTCTGCCCCTGGAGAGGCCCACTTTGGCCAGGGCTCCGGCCCCATTCTTCTGGACGATATGCAGTGTTCTGGGACTGAGGCCTACCTGAGGGAGTGCTCCCATGCCAGCTGGTCTACCCACAACTGTGGGCACAGGGAAGACACTGGTGTCATCTGCTCAGGTAAATTTCTATCTTTTCTGAAAGTTGATTTTTCATTTTTTTCTGATCAATCCCTGAGGCTCCTTGTTTCTCCCCAACATGAGAGAATGCCTTTGTAATGTACCATTTCATTAGTATGAAACCTCTGTCCACCCAGGTCCTCAACCACTCTTCCCAAGAAAGATACTCACTCTAAAGCCGACTCCTCTGTGATATTTCTAAAGCAGCTGAACACTCTAATTCTAACCCCAGTCCTCTGTGTCTATTTCAGAAGCCAAAGATAATCATATTGGGAAGAATGCTAGATTTGAAATGAAAAGCCTTAGTCCAGCTGCAGGAAAGTTACATGATTTGTGGATCCTGATATAAAACAAAGATGTGGGCCCCCTTATCAAAAAGTGTTAAGAATTTCAAGACAGAGACAGCAGAGCGTCAATGGAAGGGTAGGGCCCATGGGACCCGGTTGAGGCCCACCCAGATGAAAATTCCTCTATAATTCCCCCTTCCCCAAACCCCCTGCCCCCTTGAGCTTAACGTGGCATTTTGCACATCATTTTCCCCCTTACCAAACAAGTTGGGAAAGGTCATCATGACAATCATGATAATGCCTATTGCTGTACTGCTGTGAGGACGAGGCGTCTGTCAGTTCTGATTCACTGTCTTGTCATTCCACAGCCTGAAAAGCAGGCTGCCCACAAGGCTGTGTTGATACTTCTTTTTGAGGAAATCAACCCTCTAGAAAGTGAGCAGCTGTGTCTCTGATAAACCAACTTTGGGTGATGGGGCAAGGTGTAGAAGCAGGAGGAGGAGGAGGAACGGAAAGGCTCCTCTTTGCTGCTCAGCTGCAGACAACCGTGGAGTCAGAGGGGGTGTCTTTCTCTCTCCCACTCCCCTGCCAATTCCTCCCAAACCCAGCATGCTAGGAAGTAGGATTAGGTACATCACCAAGTGGCCAGGAGCTAAGCATTCAACAATATTTACTGCCAAAGGCTGTAGAGATGCAGCAGTGAACACAACGTCCCCATTCCATGGGATGGACTTACATGTGACTGCCAGCTAGCAGGCGCCTCACCTCTCCTGCTGACTGCAAAGACAAGGGCCTGTTGTGGCTGGGACCTTTCCCACTGCAGGCAGCTTCGTCTGGACAGCAGTTAAGGGGTTGGAGAACTCCGGTCCATTAAACCATCATTCCCAAAGCCTCTCACCAGCCTGCAGGGCAAAGGTGGCCCCAGGCTCTCCCACCTCCTGGACCCCGAGGTCCTGCCTTGTTATTGAACCAAGCGGGACACTGTCCAAAGCCCTTCCTGTGAGTCCTCAGCAGGCCTGTGTGGAATTTACCTTTGCCTCATGGGGGTGCTCCAGGCAGCCTGGGTGGGCAGAAAGAGGACTCTGCCACTCTCTTAGGCAGCAAGTCCTGCACCAGGCCCCTTGGGAGGGAAGGTGGGAGACAGGGGCTGAGAACAATCTAGGTAGCAAAGTATTTTACATATAAATCTTGCCTCAGGCAATTTAAAAACACTCTCCACGATTTTGCCCTCCAGGGGACATTTGGCAATGTCTGGAGACATTCTTGATTGTTACAGCTTGGGTGCTACTAGCCTGTATGGGCAAAAGCCAGAGATGCTGTGAAATATCCTGCAATGCACAGGACAGCTCCCACCACAGAACTTTCCAGCCCAAATGTCAATAGTGTGAGGTGAAGAAATCTTGATTCTGCTTCAGAATCAAGCATGTGCAGTTGAATTTACTGGTTGTAGTAACTATTTGTTCATTAGCTGATCGTTGATTAATAGCTGCATCAATAATGAAAGCAAAGTTAACTATAGTTTCTTCCCCAAGTATTAGCCTTAGTCTAATTTCTTTTCCAGTCATTTCCTCTGACTGTCTCCTCTACTGATTAGAATTAATTGAATGTATCCTGTCATTTTTGAGGTGGATAATCTCATACCAAGTGAATCTTGGGCAGATTCACTCAGTCATTATTGTAGCCTTCACAGGTCATGTGCTTCAAGCATGACAGGTCTCCGAGTGGTCTTGTCTAAGAGGCTGTCTCAAAGCACAACCCTGATGTCAGTCACTGAGCTCCTTCTTGTTTCCCGAGCACCTCCTGTTCATTATCCCGTTCCACCCTTACGGCAGTTCGGCAGAGGCTTGTTTTATGAGCCTTGTGTTGCAAATAGGGAAACTGGGATTCAGAGACAAGGTTAAGCAAAGTCAAAGTTAAATGCCTTGACCAAACTCGCACGGCAAATATTTAGGTCTCTGGAATCCACATCCAGTGCTCTGTCTCCCGCACCAAAATGTCTACACTCTGGAAAAATTGCCCTGCACCTAGGCAAAAATTTTCAAAATTTCGGAGTTCTGTCTTTGATGCTCTGCCAGTAGCCTCACCCTCTTCACCTACGTCAGGCCTCCCCAACACACTCACGTCCCCCAAATCCTGCCGAGCTCCCCAGGTGCAGGGAACCCCTGTGCTGAACTGCCCTAATTTACTTAAACAGGAGCTGGGACCCACCTTCTCCCATCCTTGGGGATCACACTTTCCCCAGTTCCATTTCCTTAAGTGCTCTTCCCCTCTGCCTCCAGTGATGTTGAGAGAAAGTCAATGAATGTTAATTGGGGAAATAAGTAATTGACCACATGAGTGAGAGGACTGGATGTGAATGGATTAGTCAGTTCTGCTGTTTTTCAAATACCCCCAAACAGCATGGCCCAGGTTTCCATGCCCTAAGCAGACTCTCTTTGAAATCCTTTACTTACTTTAAAAAGTTACCCAGTTTTACTTACAAGTTACAATTAAGCCACATTTATTTTAATACAAAAACAAAGTTGTAAATACTCAAAAACATTAGGTACCCTCGGTCCCTTAGGAAGACGCCTATTTATCCTGTGGGGTCTTCTATCCCATCTCGTGGTGCGAAACTTAGAAACCCAACCCTAGTTGCACATAGTGGGCTCTTCCTGAGTGGAGTTTGCACTAAAATGTTTGCATTTCCATGAATATTGAAGAGTCAAAAGGTCTTTCCTTCCCAGATATGCCCTAAGCCTTTTTGAAGTAATCATACATAAGGCAAATTCTAGGCTGAAGTTTTTCACTGGAGTCTTAGTAATGGGGCAACAGCAGATCCTTCTAGCAAGTACAGGCACTCCAGAATTTTTATCATCTCCAATAGACTCAGTTTACATTTAACTGTCTTTTTTTTTCTCATAGAGTATGAAAATGAACACTTGCAAACTTTTGGTAAGAATCACACTTTACTACATCTTTAACAGAACATCTGCTAATGCCCCTAATCCTTTGATTGTATTTACCAACATAATGCATTGCAAGAGGTTGGGGAGTGGCAGAAAAAAAAAAAAAACTGAATTTAATCAAAAGGACTCAACAAGGAAAGAGAAAAAACAGGTAACTTCCTTGTCTTTAACCATGAGGAAATCTTTGCTCCCCAAACTATTGTCTAAATGTATTTTAGAAAATCATGAAGTGATGACATGAATATGGTTTAGTAAATTATCATGCAAAAATGTTATTAAACTCAGACTAAAGAAAATCCTAACTTTGGACACCCAAATAATGCCTCTAAGGCTGGAAAGGCAGTGACTATGGCCTCAGAACAGAGTCCCTTTGCATCTCTGTTTAGAAAATTCAGAGATTAATGAGAAAAGCACAGTCTTTATTGTTAACCTGAGTCCTTCAGCATTCTCCTTTATGAGTGTCTTAGGAATACAGTTCCATAAGCATTTTGTCTTTCTGGCAGAAGATGCATTTGCACAAATAATCCAATTTAAAAGATCGATCTGTACATGACTTAGATGCATGATAAATTTCTCACTTGCCACTGATCAGAACCTACTGGATATATTTCTCAAAGTATGCCATTAGCTCAACATCTGCTCCAGGAGGCCATCACATACATGCTGATGCTTGCCCAGTAAACTTGGGTAAACTATTTTGCATGACAATGATACCTCATTTATTTCTCTCTGCTCTTAGATGCTGAGATCCTAATGCCATTTCCTGGTGGTAAGTTAAGATTTTCTAACTTCCTGGCTGATATAGCTTGGAGGGTCATTTGCTGCTAAAGGGATGGTTATATCTCCAACCCTACAAACACTACCAAACAGAATGGTTTTATCTGAGGATCCCAAAACTTTCACTTCACTCATAAATCTCTACGGGTTTTTTGTTTTTTGTTAATTCACAGAGGAAGGCTCTGTCCTTCTCCCCATCCTTCTTTGTCTATGTAACTTCTTCCTACTCCTCTTTCAAGCCTGAGATCCATTGTCATCTCTTAGGAAAGACATCCCCAAATCCCACCCCACTCCATTATATACTCTCAAAACATCATGAGATTATACTGCCTCCTAGCGCTTAGCATAGTTGCGAATCTCCATGTAATTTTAGATTAATATGACTGCCTCCTCCAGACTTGCAAACTAGACTCCAAACTCTGTGACAGCCAGAGTTGGATCTGTTAGTTTAACCACAGTAGCCACAGTACTATCTATTCTGCCCTGGTGTGTGCTCCATAAATGCTTATTGCAAGGTGAAACAAATAGGTTAATACAGAATATGTGCCTTCTGCTAACATGCAGTAATCTTGTATTTTTCCCAAAAGACTGGCCACAATTGCAACTGGTGAATGGATCAGGCAGGTGCTCTGGGCGTGTGGAAGTTTTCTACCATGGCCAGTGGGGCAGGGTTTGCGATGACCAGTGGGACATGAATGAAGCTGACGTGGTGTGCCGGCAGCTGCACTGCGGGCGTGCCCTCGCAGCCCCTGCTGAGGCTCAATTTGGTGAAGGCAGAGGTGAATTTCTGCTGGATGATGTGGACTGTACTGGAAAAGAGAATTTTTTGGGACAATGTCCTCATGCTGGCTGGGGCCTGCATAACTGTGGCCCCAGAGAAGATGCCAGCATCATCTGTGCAGGTAATGGCCACCTCTCCCTCCATAGGTACCCCTCACTGCATCTCCACTCACCCCACTGGCAGTGCTTACACCTATGTAATTGACCATCTCTGCCACTTGGGTGAGCCAAAAGTAAAGACACAGTGGTAATTTGAGAACTTCAACTTGAGCTCAGGAATTTATTAGCCACAAGATGTTGAACTGGATTTTTCACAGAGAAAAATAGTAGAAGATATTGGTGGTTCCATGACAAAGCCTAGATTTCAAAATGAATGGTGAAAGAAAACAGGAGTCAACAGTGATGTGACTCACTTTCTGGGTGTTCTTTCTTTCTTCAGGTCACTGTGGTGAACTAAGAGACAAAGGTTTTTTCCCACTAAAAATTTGCAGTCAACTGAAGGTGACAAAACAAGGAGTTTGTAAATTAGAATAGCAGTAGTTTGTCTTGACTGGGAGCTCAGGCCATGACTGCTAATTACAAGTCTTTAACCAAAGAGTCATCGTCATGATCAGTCTAGGACAGGGTTTAGGTCACTCTCTGTTGTAGGTGGACTGTCCTGCGAATTGCAGGCTGTTTTGCAGCCTCCCTCACCTCTACCCACTAATAACAGTAGCACTCCTACTCCTGACACTATTGCTGAGTGTCCTTTGGGGGAATAAATTGCCCCTGAGAACCATTGGTTTAGATATACAAACAAATTTCCACCAAACGTGTGGCTAATTTAGCATACTACCAGTGCTAACGGCATAAATTTGTGTGCCAGTGGGGAAAAAGCAAATAATTTAGCAGGTCTGACCAAGCAGTAAACTCGGTCACTTGCCAAAATTTCTAATTGTATTAAACCAGAAAGACTTTATCTAAATGATATTAATATCATTAACTAGCTTTTTAAGTCCATTCAAACAGCTCATTTTCATTTTTTGTTTTTTGGTTTTTTTCCAACCCTTTTATTTTCAAAAATTATTTGGAGTTTTGGCATAGAATTCCATCAAAGCAATCTAGTCTATAAAGCTACTGCATTCAACCTAACGGTTTCGTGTGTATAATTAGTGTTTTCTCCTCTTTGGAGGCATTATAGGGTTTGCACAGTGGACACAGTAGAGCCACAATTGAATTGAACATGTGTTATTGGACACACTATGCTAAAAAATTAATATATTTCATGGTTAATTAAAGTCACCTGAACTAAGGCAGGGAGGGTCAATGCTTTATTTCTTCTTCATTTTAAAATTAATTTTGATTTAAAGCATCTCTAGAGGCAGCTACCCTTTTCTAAGGTAGATCTTTTCTTTTCCTGTATGTTAACAGAGGCTGAGTACTTAAAGCCTGCATCAGGTAAGTTCATGCTTTTGTTTTACTGACTTGACATTTTTTATTCTAGAAGCTACCTGGGCAGGTAATGGGCAGATAATAAAGAGACAAATGGAATAAATAGTGGGAGAGACCAGTTTGCCATATTTCGACAGTCATTGTTTTTCATTTCTGCATTCCTGGGCCATTAAGATAATCCTTCCATTAAGCTGAAAATGCCGTTGGACTGCTTTCTTTGTTCTGCAAGAATTAGCTTTATTTTCACTTCAATCGTGAGGGTTTTGGTTATTCTCTAATATTGCTATTTTCATTTTTCCAGTGGAATAGCTGTTAAAAACATGATTCTTATCACCAAGATTTTTAAGGAAAAAGCTTGGTAAATTGTGTTTCTTTCATTACCGTTTAGCATATGTTCTTTCCTGTCATGTGGGGTTCAGTGTGGCTGGGGAAGGGAAGTACCTGCCTGTACTTCACTCTTATGCTCTAATATATTCACACCATTCAAGATAGCCTTTTGTTTTCCCCCCGTAAATGGAGTCTCACTCTGTTACCCAGACTGGAGTGCAGTGGCACCATCTCTGCTCACTGCAACTTCCACCTGTCAGGTTCAAGCAATTCTCCTGCCTCAGCCTCTCGAATAGCTGGAATTACAGGCGTGCACCACCATACCTGGCTAATTTTTTGTAGTTTTAGTAGAGATGGGGTTTCACCATGTTGGCCAGGCTGGTGTTTGAACTCCTGACCTCAAGTGATCCGCCCACCTCAGCCTCCCAAAGTGCTGGGATTATAGGCGTGAACCACCGCGGCCAGCCCAAAATAGTCTTTGTACTCTTTTTCCATTGTCCTGCTCATCTGCGTCCTCCTGTACCATCCCCACAGTGTGGGTTTTGTGAGAGAAGGAACTTTGGCAATCTTGTTTATCTCATAGCCAAGGAGAGTTCCTGGTACATAATAGGTTCTAAATAAATATTTGAGTGAAAAAAATATATATATAGATATATAACATTCTGCCACTTTTGTAAATTGTTGTTGGAAACATTATATTAGGTGTTAAAATACTCAATAAACAAAGGCAATGACTTTTTTTAGGAGGATACCACTTATCAGGCAGTGAGAATTCCATTACACATGATGATTTCCATCTGCCTTCAAACTCCAGGAAGTTCAGAGCTTAATTGAATGATCAATACCAGCAATAGCCAAGGATTTTTTTTAGTTGGTTGGTAATTTTTCCATTGATTTTCCTTTCATTCATATGCTTGTTAATCTTATATTTCTATTTTTCTGGTCTTGCTATGCAGATATATGTATTTTATTGTCATTTGAAATTTGTAGCAGAACATATACATATATAATTATTATATATTAAATTATATTGTATAAATTATAATACAATAGTTAATAAAATAAAATAATCTAATCTAATATATAATTATAATATGTTATAGTATAAAATGATATTAAAATATAGTATTATATATTGCATATTATAATATGTAATATGTAATAATAGTATATATAATAACATATATAAGATTAATAGAAATGTCTGCAAAGGGTCCAGGAGGAACCAGATGATGGTCCCTGAGCCCTGAAGGAGGCACAAGCTGAGAAGACAGCTCATGTGTGGACATGCCATGGCCATCTTTACTTTGCTTCCAGTTGGTAACCACTGCCCAGGACAGGCGGGTGGCCCAAAGCACCACTGGTAACTGGCTTGCTGTCAGTGTGTGGGCATTCTGAAGAGCCAGTATTATATGTTAAGGCTTTTCTTTCTAGGCTGTGTTAAAAGCAATCAAATCAGCAAATACAGGACTTCTGAGAGCCTGTTAAGTCCCAGGGGCTGATTTCACCAGGAATTCATGATATTTTACATTTTGTATTTTAGACCTGTCACATTAAAGATACGTTGAAAACCAATAAAGTCAAGTCAAGTAAAAGTTATTCAATTTAATAGAATAAGAACGATTTCAATTTATTCTTACCAATAGGTGATGGAAATTCAGCAATCATATTATCAGGTAAGATAACTTGTTTGTGCTATTTTCCCCTGGGACTTTTCTGTTTTCCCACCCAATACAGGAGGGAAGTACGTGGAAGAGTGGCTATTGAGTTATTTTACTCAGTGGCTTATTATAATCTGCCTCTTATAACTGAGCTTGGATGGAGATGATTTTCAGGACATCACTCCAAAAGATTCACTAACCTCTTTAAAAAAGAGAGCTAACAATACTATTTTTAAAATACTGGAAACCATTTGGAACATAGGGTTTTGTAATTATTTAATTTTTCAGTTTGGCCAGCTTCTCTGGGAGTATCCAAACTCTCTTAATTTTTATAAAGGAAATGTTTCTTTTCTTTTTTTTTTTTGGAGGAATAATAATCTGATTGCATGTAATGTTTACTTATTGTATAATTTCCCCATCGCTGCTCTAACAAAGTGCCATAACTTAGTGGCTTAAACAACACAAATTTATGATCTTGAAGTTCCAGGGGTCAGAAATCCAAAATGGGTCTCAGCTAAGAGCAGTGTCAGGCAGGATGTGTTCCTTCTAGAAGCTCTGGAAAAACAGGATCCATTTCCTGCCTCTTTCAGTTTTCAGAGGTGACCTGCATTCCTTGGCTGCTGGCCAGGCCTCCATTTTTAAAGCCAGTGGAGAGATTAGCATTTTCCCATCTCTCTTTGACTCTCTTCTGCCTTCTGCTTCCACTTTTAAGTACCCTTGTGATGCCATTGGGCCCACCTGATAATGCAGGATAATCTCCTAATGTTAAGGCAACTGATTAACAACTGTAGTTTCACCAGCAATCTTAATTCACCCTTTTGCTGCGGGGATAGAATGTGGATATCCTTGGGGAGGCCAATACTCAGCCTTCTGCACTCGTTTATGAAATAGATTTTATAGTTACTGCTGCTCAGTGGTGCAGAAATGGTCACGTTATTCAGAACATACATTGAAATACGGTTACCAAACAGCAAGTAGAGACAAGAAGGGTATGACAGAAGAGGGGGAGCATCTACCCAAGTCAATCCAAAAAGAGAAGCAACTGTTCTCCATCTCCTGCATTTGCTTCTGTCAATGTTCCTTAAGGACATTATAACTAATTCCCACGGCCAGATGTGGCATGAAGTTAGGTCTGTAGAGCAGGAGAGAATGTGGGACTGTGGAGCCATAGAGAAGTTTTTTGCTAACACAACAGCAACAGAAATGTTAGGAACAAAACAGGCTTAGGAATAAAACATGCAGAACATGCGAATAAAAGTACCAGACAGTCTTCATGATCTAGACCATCAGGCCAACTCTTAGGAAGAATATTAAGACCCAAAACACAAAACCCTCATCACAAAACACCAATACCCACACCTGAACATTGAATCTAGGAGAGAGACAGGCCGGGGATGATTGAGCCTAATGGGATTGAAGATAGGGCGGATAAGAGGTGATTTAGCATTACTGTCACTTACTCAGAGGTCACTTCAGAGTTGAGGCAAAACCACATCTTGGGAAATCATAGGGAGCCCCTGGCCAAACACCCCTCCCTCAAGTTACTTACTGTTCACAGGTGCTTCTTACTCAGCTCTCTCCTACAACTGCTACACATTCAGCATCGTCAGGTAGGACACTATCACCTCCGCCACTATGGTAAATTTATTGTAGATTCTAAGTCGCATGAATGATAGTCAGTGGTTCTGCACTGTCACTAGGTACTGCTAAAAGATCACTTGAGATTCAATGATTTGAGAGGAAAGGAACAAGAGGACCCTGAGATGGTCTGAATTTCACTTTGTGTTTGATCACCTGTAATTTTACTATAAAAGAACATGATCACGCAAGTCTTCTCATTTCACATACTTTCACAAATGCAGAGTAAGAAGAAAAGAGATGGGGGAAGCGTGTGTTAGAGAAAAAGATTATTAAAGATTCTCCTCATATCTTTCGATTTTAAGAAATAAACTAGAGCACCTGGCCTTATGTCTGGGAAGTATCCAACTTAGAGACGTCTAAATTACATCTCAGTGACCACCATTACAATCCATTTTCATTTGACCATGCTAGTTGATTCTGTCTCCACTTCTCCATCACCTGTAACTGCTGATATTTCAATTACACCATCATATAATTCATATTCGGACAATGCTAATAGTCACCTTTAGTAAGTCCTGAAGCCTGCACTATCCATGTAGTTACTGAGATGTGCTGTGTCTGTTAAATACACACTAGATCATTTAAAGACTCAGGAAAATGGATAGTTGTCGTTCTATGGGTGTAAGCTTTCAGTTGTGCAACATGAATAAGTTCTAGAGATCTGCTGTGTAACATCCTGCCAAAGCTAACGCACAGTACTGTGCACTTCAAAATTTGTTGTGGGTAGATTTCATGTCAAGCGTTCTTACCACACACCTGAAAGAGACATAAGGAAACTTTTGGAAGTGAAGGATATGTTTATTACCTTGGTTGTAGTGATAGTATCACGGGTGTGTGCTTGTATCAAAACACATCAAGCTATACACATTAAACTTGCACAGTTTTTTGGTCTATCAATTATTCCTCAAAAATTGTTTTAAGAAAGACAATACTATTAAAAGAATGCAGCCTGGGCACGGTGGCTCACTCCTGTAATCCAGCACTTTGAGAGGCCGAGGTGGGTGGATCATGAGGTCAGGAGATCGAGACCAGTCTGGCCAATTTGGTGAAACCTCATCTCTACTAAAAAATTCAAAAATTAGCTGGGCGCCGTTCCGCATGCCTGTAATTCCAGCTCCTCGGGAGGCTGAGTCAGGGGAATCGCTTGAACCCAGCAGGCGGAGGTTGCAGCTGAGTCAGGAATCGATGCTGCATGTTTGACTGTGACCTTCAGGCCGTGTCTGTTTTCAAACTTTTGGCGTTCTAAAGTTGGATTTAGGGGATGTCCTAACTATTAGCGCTGCCTCTGTTTGTTCCTGTGACAGGTGCTGGGTTATCTGCAACCACAGCCACAGCAGAGCCTGTGGCCCTCCCATCCACACCCGTGCCCCTGGCAGGTAAGTGCTTGGGAAAATGGGGGAAGGAGCTCACATTTATGGAACAACCATAATGTGATAAGCAGAGAATCAGATGCTGTCACTAGTCTATGCTCACAACCACCTACAAGTGCTATCCTTTCCCCCCACCTCACCTCACTGTTTCATAAAATGAAGCACAGAAAATTTTCCTAGCGTCACCCAACTAGAATGTGGTAGAGCCAACATTTGGGCACAAGTTTGTCTGACTCCAAGCCCATGTGACTCTGCTTAGCCAGTTGCCTTTGGTGGTGGGACAGTATTCTCCAAAGCTACCTTTGGGCTAATGGGGGAAGAGAATATGCTTGCAAGCCTAATTGCTATGTCCCAGGTACATCAAGACTATAACTGGGAAATCAGGGAGTCAGCTGTGAGTTGTCACCTATTCTATAGCTTTTAATGTGAAATTCCTAATTTATATTTTCCATTGTAACAATTAGGCAAGATATATCCTTTTATTTTACCTGATATTGTATATCAGGTGTGAACCCAAATCCCAGTTCTTTCTTTCTCACCTGGGTAGAACGGCTTATACATCTGCTTTACAAAGAAAGAAAGCTCGTTATAGCGTTCTGACCCGTTAAGACTGGTTTTGCAGTAACTCACATCAGTAGTAACTCAGTTTGACTGGGCCAAGCCTAATGGTGTGTGTGCACGTCTGTATTTTGAATAAATACTATGGTGGAAGTTTAAGGCTGTGTAGATGCGCTAAGCTAGCCTTACAGTCATTCTGCTACCTCCTCAAAAAACACTACACAGCAGGCAGAGGTCTCTCATCCATTTCAGGCCTCCACTTGGGCCACTTTTTGACATTCCGGGCCCCTAGGAACTTTTGCCTTCAGGGACCCCTACCTCCATAAAAAAAAGTATATTTATATACACACAGATATGTTTGCATATGTTCTATTTTATGGTTGTGTTGGTATAAAGACTATATTGTAGTCATTTCTTCTGATTTTAAAACAAATGAAGGCATGTTTGGGGGGGGGCCCTTAAAAGTCACGTGGACCCAACTGTGCCTGCCACGTCCAACAGAGGCGTCTGTCCTGCTCTTCTCCATTCTTCCAAGTAATGAACACGTTCAGACCCACTGGACTCCAGCACCACAAGGGCATTTCGGGAGGAAGAACACGATGCATTTGCCCACCATGAGACTGCTTCAAATCAGGGCATGGGGTGGATTCTGACTTATTTCATAGCCTCCTTGGGGGCAGAACCGATGGACTGTGGTGAGAGCTGTCCTAACCGTATGCCCTCCTTGGAGCTGAGCCATAGGCGGTCTGCCCAGTTGTCTGTAGTGCTGCACAGTGAGCTGGCCCCATTTTCGGACACAGGTTGCTCGCAGGAGCTTTGTTGAGAAAAGAGGTTCATTTTTTATGCATAGTTCCTGGCAGGGTTGAGTTGTGAACAGTAGGTAATGGTCACACTGAATAACGTGAGTAGGAGTGGGTTGTTTATGAAATGGAGGCTGCTGACTCAGAAGAATTGGAGCCTGTAAAAGGGTGATTAACCTAGAATCTCTTAGAAAATCTTCCTCACCTTCTCTTCTGAGCATAATCTACTTATGATTATCATAACGACTCATATTTCCACTACATTTTTCCTCACATATATTTTCTAACTTGTTCTCAAAGCAACCCATATGTTAGATATGAAAAATATTTATTTCTGCATTGGATTACTGATGTTATGTTATATTGTATTGTATTGCACGACTACTCCTATTTTGTAAGCTAGAGCACTGTTAACATAATGAGTCACAGACTCTCAAACTTTTTGTTTAATAAATCTAATGGAGTAGTAGGTTCTATTTTTTACTTCTCCCATTGGCTTAAGAAAGAAGCCTCACCAGTGTTTCTAGAAAATTCTAGAACACAGAAGGTCAATATAAATATCATGATCAGGGCAATAAATTACTAAATAAAACAATCACCAGAATTCCAGATTTTTTAGAAGTTTAACAATTACTTTCACTAGACATAGAAATAATCTGAGACTATTTCTCCTTTGTTTTCTCCATCTTATCACTGATTAAAGCCCTTAAGGTGTAAACTCTTCATTATAGAGCCTTGCTCATGATAGGCATTAAGTGAATATTCTGTGATTTAAAGTATAACTGTGATGGCAGCAAAGAAATGTCTTTAGTGCTAGAAAGAATACTGTGTAATTTCCAGTCTGGGACATTCCCCCATACCAAGGTGACTTCCACAGAAAGACTAGCCAGCGTCCACTGGGGCATGGCTGAGAGGACTCCCCAGGTCAGGGGTCCTCTGGAGTTCTTGTGCCATGTGTGGGCTCAGGTGACATGTGTAAGTTGGGAGCCCAGGGATCTGGCATTGTCTCTCTAGACGTCTAATTCAACTGCTCACCAGGGTCTTCTGGCCTCCTTGAGGCACTTCCAGGGAGTAGGAGTTCCAGCCCAGATTTTCCAAGACCCATAGAACTTTCTATCTGCGTAACCCAAAGGAAATACCCTTTTTGTTACACATAAAGGTAGAATAAGCACTTCTCTCCCTCAAACCTTATTCTCTTCCTTGATCTCAGGTCTTTGAACGAAAGCCAGAACATCCTACAGGCTATATCAGCTCTCTACTCTGCATGTAAACTGACCCAGGCAAGAGGCACAGGGCTCAGCTTGAGAGAAGGAAGGAGAAGGGTAACTTCAGGGAGGAAAATACATATAACAAAGTTCACTGGCCTTAGAAAGCCACATGGAATACTAATCCATCTACCCAGTTCCAATTCACATTGCCACTTTGACCCTGAGAAAGTTAACTTGGACTTTCTGAGTCTCACTTTCTTCATGTGAAAAACAGTTAATAATAGACCCAACAAGAGAGATGTAATGGTCAAATAAGATCAAGCTTATAAAGTACTTAGGATGGCACCTGCTATTGGTAATCACCCATGAGATGTGAGTGGTAGAATTTATGATTATTATTGTTACTATTATTCTTCCTACGAAATAATATTTATGGAAGATATAAGTATTATGACATCAACAACATATCAGCCCATGATAAGACTAAGGCAATGTCCTGACACCAAAGGCCACTCCCCAGTGCACCCCCTTCTTGTGCCTCCCCAGGAGCCTGGATGGAGGTGAGGCTGCTGAACGGCACAGGGAGGTGCTCAGGCCGTGTGGAAGTTCTCGTCCAGGGCACGTGGGGTACCGTGTGTGATGATCTCTGGGACCTGGCTGAGGCCACCGTCGTGTGCCGCCAGCTGCAGTGTGGCCAGGCTCTGGCAGCCCCCACAGGAGCCCACTTTGGGGCAGGCTCTGGGAAGATCTTACTGGATGATATGCAGTGTGTGGGCAGTGAGAGCCACCTGGGGCAGTGCATGCATGGGGACCAGGCCAGGCACAACTGTGGGCACCTGGAGGATGCCAGTGTCATCTGCACAGGTAAGGGGCTGTTTTCTGAACAAGAAGTCACTTCTTTGTTTTCCCTTCGAATAATACTCAAGGACTGATTTTACTAAGTGTTATATTATAAATAGCACTGTAAATGTTAGGATGTTGATTTTTCTTTTGATCATCAAGTGCTGGCAATTCACCAGGTCCCACTCCAATCACAGAACCTGAAGCTGTCACACCATCATACATACCATCAGGTTGGTTCAAGATTTATGTCTCTTGCATAAGCCAAGATGGCACGGCCTGATAGAGCATGGTGTTACTTTTAACCTATCTGTGTCTTTAAATTTATTTATTTACTTATTGAGATGGAGTCATGCTCTGTTGCCCAGACTTGAGTGCAGTAGTGCGAACTCACTGCAACCTCTGCCTCCTGGGTTCAAGCAGTTCTCCTGCTTCAGCCTCCCGAGTAGCTAGGACTACAGGTGCATACCACAATGCCTGGCTAATTTTTTGTATTTTTAATAGAGATGGGGTTTTGCCATGTTGGCCAGGCTTTCTCGAACTCCTGGCCTCAAGTGATCTACCCACTTCAGCCTCCCAGAGTGCTGAGATTACAGGCATGAGCCACTGCACCCAGCCATATCTTTAAATTTAAAATGGAGTTCTTTTAGGTAGGCTATACTTGAGTTTTGCTTATTAAAAATCCTATTTGAAAATCTCTGCCTTTTATTTGAGGTGTTTAGACCATTTACATTTAATATGATGACTGACAGATACAGCTTACTAGTTATCCATTGCTGTATAACAAATTACCCCACATTTTTATTTTAGAATGACAGATATTTATTAGTTAGTTTCTGTGGGTCATGTATCTTATTAGCTTAGCTGGGTGGTCCTGGCTCAGGGTCTTTCATGAGGTTATAGTCAAGCAGTCAATCAGGCATATGGTCAAGAATAGGACTTTTTTCCAAGCTCACTCACATGGTTTATTGGTGTCTTCTATTCCTCATGTGCTCTTTTACTCAGGACTTGAGTTTCTTGATGGCTTCTAACTGTAGGCTTCTCTGAATTCCTTGCCACATGGGCCTATCCATAGGGCTGCGAACAAAATAGAAGCTGACTTCCACCATAGCAAGTGATGAGAGAGAGAGAGAGAGAGAGCTCAAGACAGAAACCACAGTCTTTTATAATTCAATCTCAGAAGTGACATGTCATTGTTTTTGCTGTATACTATTGATCAAAAGTGAGTTATTAAGTTCAATCCAAAACACAGGGAGGGAAAGCAAACCCTACCTCTTGAAGGAAGGAATATCAAATAATTTGTGAGTATATTTTAAAAATCACCACTGTTAAGTTTAAATCTACCATTGTGATATTTGTTTAAATTTACCGTTTTGCTAATTGTTTTCTATTCATTCCACCTGTTCTTTTTTACCATGTTTTTGTCTTTTTTTTTTTTTGTTTTGGAATTTATTGCTCCATTTTGTCTACTTTTTTTGTCTACTAGGTATAATTTTATTTTAAGTGGTTACTTTAAGATTTATAACAAACATCTTTTCTATGTGGCATCTTGTTTCTTCTGCCTGAAAGACTACCTTTAACACATCCTGTAGTGCAGGTCTACTGGTGACAAATTATTTCACCTTTTCTGTGCCTGAAACCATCTTTATGTCATCTTCATTTTTTAAAGATAATTCTCCTGGGTATAGAAATCTAGGTTGACCTTTTTGTTTCAATGCTTTAAAGATGTTATTTCACTGTTGTCAGAATTTCATTCTTTCTGTCAAGAAGTCTAGTGTCATTATCACCTTTTTTTATCTGTATACAGTGTTTCATTTCTGGCTGCTTTTAAGATATTCTATCTATCATGAATTCTAATCTACTTGGTTACAACATATGTTGGGATAGTTTTCTTCATGTTTCTTCTGGCTAGAGGTCATTGACTTTCATGAATCTGTGAGTCACAGGATTTTTAAAATCAAATTTAGAAGTTTATCTCTTCAAATATTTTGTTCCCATCTTTTCTCCTTTCCTTTATGGACTCCAATTAAACATGCATTAGGTTACTTGAAGTTGTCTCACAATTCCCTGGTGCTCTGCTCATTTTTTTTTAGTCGTTTTTTTCCCATGGCATTTAGCTTTGGATATGTCTTCAAGTTCACTTACTTTTTTCTCTGCAGTATCTAATCTGCTGTTAATCATATCCAGTGTATTTTTCATCTCAGGCATTATTGTTTTCTTCTTGAGAAGTTTAATTTGGGTCTTTTTTATATCTTCCATATCCCTACTTTTCATGTTCCATCTTTCCTCTACCTTCTTGATTGTATGATATAATTATTGGTTTCATTCTCTAGTGTAAAAATTATATATTTTTACCATTTCTTGGTCTGTTTCCACTGACTTATTCTTCCCATCATGGGTCATAGTTTTCTGTTTGTTTACATCCTTGGCAATTTTCTACTGGATACCAAATGTTGCCATTTACCATTTTGAGTATGAGTTGTCATTTATTCTCGATCTTACTTTAAATCACTCAAGTTACTTGGAAACAGTTTGGTCCATTTAAGCCTTGTGATTAAGTTTTGTTAGGCAGGAGTACAGCGGACTTTAGTATGGAGCTAATTTTCCCCACTACTGGGCAATACCCTTCTGATTGCCATACCCAATGCCTCATGGATTGCCTGGTTTCACTCTGGCTGGTAGGAAAAGGAACTATTCCCATGCCTGTGCAATCACCAGAGATTGTTCCCTCTACTCCTTTTAGGCAGTTCTTACCTTGGTCATGGATATTTTCTCCACATACATCTGCTGATTAGTACTCAGATAAAAACTTGAGAGAGACTCTCCGAAAATCTCTGGAGCTCTCTTTGTGGGCAACCTCCAGTACTTCCCAGTGAATTCTAGCCACTTCGTTTTCCCTGAATTTTCAGATCCATCTTTTGAAGAAGTCTGCCAGGATCCACCTGGGTTCCACTTCCCTCTGTTATGCACTGGAACTCTAATTAATAATCTAGGGTAATTATAGGACTCCCCATGTTCATTCACTCTCTCTTAGTGATTGCTCTCCTGTGCTGCCTGTTGTCCAAGATCAGAATTTTGTCTGATTTCTTAGTTGTTTCATGTAGAACAGTAAATCTGCACCCAATTATGGTAGTTTTCTATTGCTGCCATAACAAACTGCTACAAATTTAGCAGCTCTAAGCACCATCAATGTGTCATTTTTATAGTTCTGTAAGTCATAAGTCCAGTGGGCTTAGTTGTTCTGTTTCAAGTCTTAAAAGGAAAAATCAAGATGCCAGTAGAAATCTGAAGGAGAATCTATTTCCAGGCTCACTGGGGTTGTTGGCAGAATTCAGTTACATATAGTTGTACAACTGAGGTCCCTGATTCCCTGCTGACTGCTGGATGGGAGTTGTTCTTAGATTTTAGAAGTCACTCACATTCCCTAGCTCATGACCCCTTCATCCTAAAGCTTGCATCAGTGAGTCAAGTCATTCTCATGCTTTTTAAATGTCTCCTGCCTCTTCTTCTGCCATACCTCTCTGATTTCAGCCAAAAAAGATGATCTGCTTTTAAGAGCTCATGTGATTAGATTGGATGCACCCAGAAAATCCAAGATAATCTCTCATTTTGTGATCTGTATCCTTAATCACATCTGCAAAATCTCTCTGCCATATCATGTAACCTATTTGCAGATTCCAGGGAGTAAAACATAGACATCTTATGGAAGTCAATATTTAACCGCCCAACCAGTTACTACATCTGACATGGAAATAAAAGTCAGATTATTTTATTATAAAATGTATTAAAAACAATGAAAATGTCAAGAATAATGTAATGAACAATTGAGTACTCACTAGTAGATTCTATCGAATATTAATATTTTATTATAATTATTTTAGATTTTTAATAAAACAATAATAATTAAATGATATTTTATGAGTTAATAGGATATAAATGGAGGCTATCTTATTTTGTTATGTGAGCCTCCCATGGTTTAAGCTACTAAGAGTTCAAGTAAATTCAGCAAACATCTAGAAATAAACCAAAAGCTTTAATCATTTAACTAAATATATCTGGTTTGTTCCTAAAAGGAATAGACAGAAAATTCAGAATTTATTTTATGGGTGTTTAAAGGGTTAGAATGTGTTAACTAGGTGAAAGTTCTAAAAGTACTGTATTTTCCATCCCATTATGCTCTAACTAGTGATAGATGAATGTGGTAGAGAAGGGAGAGTGGATGATCCTCCCTACCTGAATCTGCCTCTTGGGGAGCCAACCAAAACACTGACTGGACACATTTGAGCCCAGTCATTCTCTTTGGGCTTGTTGTCAGAAGTTTTCCCTTCCATGTGTAGCTAGGAGGTATCTAGCAATGAACAAGGCCTCTCTTTGTTTTATACTCTGTTACTAGCTGTGCCCACCACAAAGCCTGAGTGCTGATCATATTCCTGCAAATTCTCCTTGCCTCTGAGAAGCTAAGTCAGGAGCTGATGCTACATATTTGACTGTGACCTTTAGGCTGGGTCAATTTTCAAACCTTCATCTCTCTAAAGTTGGGTTTAGAGGATGTTCTAACTCTTAGGGATGCCTCTCTTTGTCCCTATGACAGGTGATGGATTATTTGCAACCATAGCCACAACAGAGGCTGTGACCCTGCCATTCACACCCATGCCCCCAGCAGGTAAGTCCTTTGGAAAATGGGTGAAGGAGCTAACATTTATGAAACAACCATGATATGTCAAGCTTATATCATGCATTATCTTATTTGTTCCTCTTGGTTATTATTCCCCTTTTACAAGCTAGGCACCTGAGGCTTAGGGAGCTTACATAACTTATCCTATTCCAACTCTAAAACTGATGCTCTTCCCTACTCCATCTGTAGGTCCCTGCCCAAATGTGTCTATTATCCAGTAAGGATGTCAAACACACACTAGGCCACCACCATCAATGTAGATGGTGGGAAGTGCCATGAAAGGTGTACAGAACACAGAAGGGAGAGGATTACAACTGGGGGATTCCAGGAAGGGTCGATGGAGGTGGCAAGGGGAGGAGAGCTGTAGGATGGACAGAGTTTTAGCCTGTGGTCCTGGGGATAGCAACAGCTTCCACGAGCGAAGAGAAGGACAATGCTTGAAGGAAGGATTTACAGCCAGGGGTCCTGTAAGTACCTTGTGAGGGTGCTTGAGGTGCATGCATCCCATCACACTCACAGGAGACCCCACAGCTCGTTGGTTACTCTATGTCTTCCTCCAAATAGGGAGGAAAGAGGTAATCTAGGATTTGACTTTGCTGCACTGATTATCTGTTGAACACTCTTATTTCACTCATATTCCTCAGCTCTTAAAGGACGAATGAGCATAGGGAGGGCCCCTGAGCCTTAGGTCTTGATTTCTTGTTCCACAGGCATCACTGGTCTGACTCTAAGTCAATTCCTACCACATTTTCTCACTTGTCCCAGAGAACAAGAGTGGCAATATTCATTAAACACTGATTATGCACATGCTATGCTATGTTGGCATTTTATATGCATTACCCCTTTTAGTCCTCAGAGAAACTCTACTAAATGAGCATTATTGCTATCACCTTGTTTACAGAGGAGAAATCAGGCAGGTGGAGGAACTTGCCCAGGACCATACCACACAGTTAGAAAGCAATGGGCCTGGAATGCAAATGCAGGCAGTCTGACTCCAGAGCCCAGAGAGTCACCTCTAAGCTGAATTGATTCTTTATGGGAGGAGAAAAGAGGGGAATTTCTGCCCACCAGCACTTCACTCTGGTGGGCAGCTGCTGCCATTTCAGGGAAACAGACAGGAAGCTCAGCTACTCGGATAAAATCGGGGATTTTGTACATCAAGGGCACCAACATCTTCTAAAATTCCACCATCAGTTACCAGCTGTGTCTCTGCAGGAGCCTGGATGGAGGTGAGGCTGTTGAATGGTACAGGGAGGTGCTCAGGCTGCATGGAGGTTCTCATTCAGGGCATGTGGGGGACGGTGTGTGACGACTTCTGGGACCTGGCCGAGGCCGCCATTGTGTGCCGCCAGCTGCAATGTGGCCATGCCGTGGCAGCCCCTGTAGGGGCCCACTTCAGGGCAGGCTCTGGGAAGGTCCTGCTGGATGACATGGAGTGTGTGGGCAATGAGAGCCACCTGGGGCAGTGCATGCACGGGGACCGAGCCAGGCATAACTGTGGGCACCTGGAGGATGCCAGCGTCATCTGTGCAGGTGGGGGGCTGGCTGTCAGTCTTCATTTGGAGGGCTGTTTCTAGTTCCTTCACTCCTCTTTCCTCTATACACACACAAACCACACCCCACAGCTCAATCCAGGAACATAGTGGGGCCAGGGAGGTAACTGGTATTGCCTACAGCCTTTCAAAGTTCTACATAAGCCTGACCATCTCCTTGACTTCAATGATCTCTGAGTATGGCTCACAGGCTGCACCCAGGCTCAGAAGTAAATATCTTCAATTTGAAAATCAGGCTGAACATGAATTTAAAAATCAAAACATTTGACATAAAAATTCAAATTCTTACATGTTGTAAAAATGAATAAATGAAAGCAGAATTTCAGGCACAGAGCAATGCATCCTTTCACTGCATTAGCTGGCTGGATCTGAGAAAGAGCTGTTCCTTTGGACATGGAATACCTTTCCAGTTTTCATGGCACACACCTCCCCACCACCTTATTTAGCTTACCTGCATGATCCTCAGAAACTTTTGAGCTTGTGGCATCCAGGTTACAAGCCAAATCCATCAGCTGGTGTTCAGGACCTCCATGTTCCTAGCCTACCGAGCTTCCCACACCAATCTGTGCCCCTGGTCCTCCCTAGTCTTTTCTGGTCCTCTCCTGCTTGCAGCTGGAATAATGTGTCTATGAATGACAAGCTCTGCAGGTTGCATCTGGCTCATCCTGAGCCACATCCCCTCTGTGGGGCACGGGGCTTTCCTCAACGTCCGAGGCCCCTGGGGAAGCACTGGCTATCCTGGGACAGTCAACAGTTGCTGACTGATGTCCTGTCTCAAATCCCCAGGAAATGCCAAAATCCTCAGGAGCAAAGTCTCTGCCTCTTTCTCCTTTCTGTTGCCTGAAGCTCCCTAAATGTAGGAAGTTCCCAATAAGCCTTTGCCAATGAAGACAAGATAACATGCACAATCCCTCTTTATGTTGACAGGTGCTGATTCCACAGCTGCTCTGCCTACAGGTAGGACTGCATGTCACATTCAGTGTCAAATACTAGACTTGTCCTGATGCAAAAAAGAGTTTGAGGTTTAGAATCAGATCTTCATTTGATTTCCAGCTTCCTTCCTTCCTTCATTCATTCATTCAACAGGTATTGGCTGGGTATCTACCCTGTGCCAACTTCTGTGCCAAGCACTGGGGATACAGCGGTGGTCAAAACTCACCTGTTGTTTCTTTTTCTTCTTCTCCTCCTCCTCCTCCTTCTTCTCTTTTTTTTTTCTTTTTCTTTTTCTTTCTTTTTTTTTTTTTTTTGAGATAGCGTCCTGCTCTGTTGTCCAGGCTGGAGTACAGTTGCGCTATCTTGGCTTACTGCAACCTTTCTCTCTCAGGTTCAAGTGATTCTCCCTGCCTCAGCCTCCCAAACAGCTGGGATTACAGGCACCTGCCACCACACCTGGCAAATTTTTGTGTTTTTGGTAGAGATGGGGTTTCACCATGTTGGCCAGGCTGGTCTCAAACTCCTGACCTCAGGCCTCCTGATCTGCCCACCTTGGCCTGCCAAAGTGCTGGAATTACAGGCATGAGCCACCGCACCTGGCCCCCTGTTTATTTTTTTAATGGGGTTTATACTCTCACAGGAGAGATACATGTGACGTATAATCACCCTCAGTTACATAACCTCAGCCAAGTTATGTTATCTCTCATCCTATTTTCCTCTTCATGAAAGTAGGGACAATAAAGAGCTTTGAATAAGGGCATGAATAGGGCAATGCCTGAGGGTACCTGTTACCCAGCGGCGCTCATGCAGCAATGGCTGCTTGTTTTGGGCACATGTGGACCTAAGGAAGGAGGTGTGAGGGATGGTAAGGGCCTGGTCTGCAGGAATTTCATCCAGGCTGACCTCTCAGTGGATGAATGACCTTGGCCTTCAGTCTCCTCATCATTAGAACAGGCTCATTGGATTCTACGTTCCCTAAAATTCTATGCCTTTGGCTTTCTGTGACTAACAAGGAGAGAGTAAGCAGCTACATGGTCTAGCTACATAATACTTGTGCCACTGTGGAAAGCCAGAGACTGTTGCCAAAAACCAGAGACATAGAGTTTGTAATAGGAATTAAGGGAGACTTCCTCCCCTACAACATTTTATTATGGAAAATTTTAAATATACAGCAAAGTTTGAAGAATTTAACAATGAACTCCTACCTAGATTCCATAATGAATCTATAAATTTATCTAGCATCCCTGTATTCATACATTGATCCATCTCACTTTTTATTCAACTTTGATTATATACCATAAAATTTACCCATTTTAAGGTCCAGTTTGGTGAATTGTGGTAATTGTGTCCAGTTGTGTAACTACTGCCACAGTCAAGAACAGTTCCCAGGCCATGCGAGGCTTCCTTGTGCCATTTCAGAGCAGATTCCAAATAATGACAGTGGCATATGTGGGGAGGAGGCAACAGAGAGGGAGGTGCTGGCCAGTGGATGGCCTCTAGACAGCCAGCCACCTGGGGCAAATGACCTATGAGCTTCACTTTTGCTGATTGCCACAGGTGCACATTAGTTCATCCACAGTAGCAATGCCATGTTCTACTCTAAATGGAGACCTCAGGGATCTGAGGTCATGGGCCTCAGAAGGCACTCTCACTGTTATTCCTGCTAAATCCTGGGAGGGGGCGGGCACCCCCTTGAAGGAACTGTGTCTTCTCCCCATGCTGTGACTGTTCCCTGATAACAGTCCTTCCTTTTTGCCCACCACTAGCCCATGAGAACCTGCTCCCCACATCATCGGTGGTATCAGTGGCTCAACACCCACCATCTTCTGCACCACCAGGTAGAGCTGTGTCTTTTTATATTATGCCTTCTGAACAACTTCATTCATTTGACTATGAATGAGTGAATGAACATGTGTCCCTGGGGATAGGTAGAGCAGTGAATGGAGCAGACCCTCACATGGGCTTTATAACAGGGTGTGGCGAATGTTGTGATGGGGAAGCATAGGTGCCATGGGCACCCAGAAGAGCGTCCCCATCCAGACCCGAGGGAGCAGGAAACCATATCTAAGCTAAGGAAACCATATCTAAGCTAAGAAATGAAGGGTAAGGGATCAGTGAGGTTGTGTCATGCAGAGGACAAGTCAGATAGTTAGACCCTCTGTGCACTGACTGGCGGGAGACATTAATATGCTTTCTAGATTAGAGCCTAGGGCTGGACAATAGCCATGCAGAGTTAGTGAAGAGTGCATGGTTGAGGCCTGCTAAGATGGTTTTTTGCTGTGATCAGGGGCAAGTGATATTTCATGATAGCCAGCCTTGACAGGCGGGAGACATTAATATGCTTTCTAGATTAGAGCCTAGGGCTGGACAATAGCCATGCAGAGTTAGTGAAGAGTGCATGGTTGAGGCCTGCTAAGATGGTTTTTTGCTGTGATCAGGGGCAAGTGATATTTCATGATAGCCAGCCTTGAGTTGGGTCTTGGATTTTTGCAAGTTAGGTTCAGTTTGAGGCCAGATAAGGCAGGGGTAAAATATTGGGCCCACTGATCCTTTAATCTAGCTGTACAGCCAAAAGATTCAGGGATGACCAAGAGGAACCACCATCACTGCCCCAGGGCCTGAGAGCACCCCTGGTGGAAGAGTGCCCTGCAGGTGCTAGGTGCTATAGCTCCTGGCCGTCGGCCATGGCCTTGGAAGCATGGTGGTCACTAAGGCACCACTGCCGGCTCTGTGAGTTTCAATCAGCCTGAAGTCACACTCTAATATTTCTCTTCTTCGTTTGTTTAATAACTTCTTATCTTGTGTGCCTACCATGTGCTGAGCACTGAACCCGGCACTGGGGTTGATTGATAGATGAGCCATTTGCAATCCCAGTTCTCAAGTTGTTCGTAGTTTAGTAGGGAGACAAGTCTTATACACAAGTCTCCCTATAACATAGGGAGAAAGTGGTCTGTGCCATATGAGAGGGGCCCTGCCCTGCTCTTCCTGCACCCTTAGATCATGGCCCATGCTGTTCTGTGTTCCCACATGAATGCTGTCGGCATGAACTTCTGTGGCAACTGTGACCATACCCCCACTATTTTGGTCCCTTCATATATCCAGCTCATCCTAAGCTGATCCAGCTCTGCACCCCACCCACCTTCCAACCAAGAACGAGGCCCTGAGAAGCCCTCTGAAAACTCTCACATTCTTTAGCCTTACAACAGCATGTGAAGTAATGTCTGTCATCCTCAGGGCCATGCAGCTGGCCAGGGCTGTTGGACTCATCCTTCCTGGCCTTTGCTCCCTGATATCCATTGCTCTTTCCACTCTATGTCCCTGCCTCTCATAACTCTGCTAAGGAGATGAGAAGTGTGTGTCGCTGGTCAGGCCCATAAGCACCACAGAAAAAAGCAAAGGGAAAGGAAAATATTAGTCTTAGTCTGGGGGATCACAAGAGCTTCATGGAATGGAGCCACTTGGCATGGAATTTGAAGGATGAAAAGGTTTTCACAGGCAGGAATAGGAGACCACATACTTTAGGCCAAGTGGTTGGTATAAAGGAAGGCAGGGAAATGGGAGGCATTTAATACTGGGTGAGCATTTGGTTTCATGGTACAAATCCCCACTCAAGCAAGATTAATGGAAGGAAGACTACGGCAGGGATGTAGGGGTCAAGAGAATGTAAATAAGGAAGGAATTAGCTGCAGTGGAGCCATTCTCTCTGGATCTCCCTTATTCCTCTTTTTTTTCCCCTCTCTTGAGTCATTATTCTGAGCAGCTTCTCCGTTCACTAACCCACCCATATATGATTCATCATGTGGCTGCCCAAATGCAAGTGTCAGACTCTGCGTCTTCCAGTTCTCTCTTCCCGATTTCAAACATCCAGTGGAGAGAGGCTGGCCCAATCCAGCCTGTGGATGGGTTCCTCTGGAGTCAGCTGTGCTCCAGTCCAGTCACCTGACCAGGCAGACCCAGACACGGGGAACATGGTTTTGGCCCATGCCTCCTCCTGGCTTTGGGTGGGCAGGTTATATAGCAAAGGAATGTGGATAAAGAAGAAGCATATAAGTTATCTACCAGCATATAAAACCACCGCGAAAACACAGTGGCTTACAACAACCATTTATAACTGCTCACAAGTCCATGGGTCAACTGGGCAGTTCTGCTCATCTAGGATAGGCTGAGCTGATTTGGGCTGGGTTTGTTCATGCATCTGTGGTTGGCTGGCAGATCAGTTGAAGACTATCTGGCCTCGGATGCCTCCCTCACATGTCTGGCTGTTCCATAGCTGTCATTGAGGTGACCGTTGACAAGGCCACGTGTCTTTCATCCTCCAGCAGGCTAACTCAAGGTTGTTCGCATGATGCTATCAGAGTTTCCAGGAAGTGAGCTGAAGCCTGCAGGCCTCTTGAGGCCTCAGCTCTGCAAGGGTGTACCACTACTTTGCCATATTCTATTGGCCAAAGCAAGTTAAAGGCCACAAGCCCAGAATTAAAAAGTAGGAAAATAAGTTCACCGTCTTCATAGGAGGGGCTGCAATGCCACATTGTAAAGAGCATAGAGAAGGGAAGAACTTTGGTCATTTTTGTAAACAATCTGCCTGAGGCAAACTGTCTTAAAATAGAGTGTGGATAAGGAAGACACAGGCTTCTTGGAGCAGACAGGTCTGGGGAATGGCGTGGGATCCTTCATGTCAGCATAACCATATTTGCAGCAAAGTCATGGGAGATAAGGACAGCGAGCTGGGCTGGGTAGACAACAGTCCAGTCATCCACAGGCAGAGGGGTAACTATCACCCCGTGACTGCTTTGCTCTCCCCCAGGAGGCTGGGCCCCTGTGCGGCTGGTGGGCAGCCACGGAAGATGTGCGGGTCGCGTGGAACTTTTCTACCAGGGAGTCTGGGGGACTGTGTGCGACGACCTCTGGGACCTTCCAGAAGCAAACATTGTCTGCAGGCAGCTGGAATGTGGCTGGGCCATTTCAGCCCCGGGTGAGGCCCACTTTGGGGAAGGTTCTGGGAGGATCCTCCTTGACAACGTGCACTGCAGAGGAGATGAGCAGCACCTTGAGGAATGTTCCCACACCGGCTGGTTTACCCACAACTGTGCTCACGGGGAAGACGCCGGCGTGATCTGCTCAGGTAAACCCCTGCTCCCTTCCCAGGTGGGGCCCCACTTCTGCTCTTTTCAAGGGAATACTTCTCAAAGGACAGCATAAAAATAACTATTGAAAATGAACCAGTACGTGATTCACTCACAGCAGATGTCTTCATCTCTCACACTTACAGATGCCGAATATTCAACTGTCACACCACCAGGTAGGGAAGGTGATGTTAATACGTGCAGCTTATCAAAATCTCAGGGAAGAAACTGCTAGAAATTGGATGTATCTTATTCTCCAAGTCGGTGGAGTGACTGTGAGCTGTGGAATCCCCAGATTGTCCTCTGGGAGAGATGGACAGTGCCTTAGAATCATCTAGTCCAGCCTCACTTTCTACCTCTCCTCCTACTCCACTGTGTATTTCATATACCAGAAATAGATTCTCAGTTTCTCAGGCTTCTACAATTGATCTTAAGCAAAAGGCCAAGAATTGATTATTTCTCAGACTTCTATATAATACTTTTGGTTTGTCAGCTCTGAGATTTGCAGAGGGGATGGCAATGAGAAATGGATGGGTGGGAGGCCATTAAGAGTTGAGAGATGGTAAAAGCACTTCCTGCTCAGTAGCAAATGGCCAGTGGACCAGTTCTGGACAAAGTGAGCCACTTCATTTCTACTCCCTCCTTGCCTCGGCCTTTCTCGTACAGCCCTGGCCTCACGGAGCTTCCATTGCTGTTGGCTTTTCCGTGCACTCCCAACCCCAGCACCCAGAGTTTTCCATGCCAGTGCCCTCTCCCTCATCAGACCCCCGGGTTCTTTGATGCCCTGGTCTCAACCAGCTCTCAGTCAGAGGGCGAGTGATGAACAAAGCTGATTTGACAAGGTCTAGTAAAATTCCTTCACATTCCCTCCTGGGTTGTCAGCTGTAGCAAGTGAGACGGATTTGGTCTCCAATGGGAGGTGCTGAGCTGAGTGTCACTGGCAGGAGAGATGTTTGGCCATGGAGGAGAATCCACAGCATCTTTAGGTCCTGACTCAGCATCTCTGGGCAGCACCTGATCAGAGGAATCAGTGACTCAGTGCTTATTCTTGTTCTTACAGCTCAGCCTCATAAGTCTTAACCCTTGAGTCACTTGGGAAGAAGCTCCAGATGCCAGAATTTCATGTCTTCAGGTTTCTTAAACCTCAAATTTAAAAATATCTAATTTGCATATATGCAAGAGAATAATGCATCAAAGAAGTCTTGGAACAATCTAGATCAGTGCTTCTTCCCTCCTCCATATTAAAATTGCCTCCACATTCAGGCCTCTCCTCCAGAGACTCTGATTCAGTAGATTTAGGGGTGGCCCAGATGGTGTATTTGTTGCAAGCTCCTCGGGATTCTCATGTGCAGACAGGGGTGCAGACCTCAGTGCCGAGTGATGGCCATACACTGCTGGCATTTCCATATCTTAAGTAAGTCCTAAGCGTGTCCTTTGTGTGTTTGACAGGTCACCCACTGGCTGTCCTGGCAAGGAGAGTGGCCACAGGTGAGACTTTTGTGTCCTTTGCTACCTTGATCATCATCTTCTAGCTCTAGCCCTGATGTGATCCTTCAAGGAAATTGAGCCAAAGTACTACTATCCTGTATGGGTCTCTCCCCTCTCAACCTGTGCTCTGGGGGAAGAGCTGAGTAACAAAGGCCAATAAACCTATGATTCTAATTCTATTTCTGCCTAGTAAAAGAAAGAAGTCCAGATAATCAAGTGATGCTAGCTGTCTGGTGTCCCAGCATGGACACCATGAGTGAGGGGCAGGGTGTACCCAAGGCCATGATTTGAGAGGGCTCAGACCATGATGAGCACGTTCTTCTTCTTCCCCTTTTCCCCTTCGCTGCAATCTCCATCCTCTTTTTTTATTCTTTCTTTTCCGTCTGCCATTTTTTCCTTCTGTTCTTGCCTATGCCTTGAGCCTTCAGAAGCTCCTCTTAACTTTTTCTAGCACCACTTGGGGATAGGGCTAAAATACCACTGTTGCAAGGACAGTCTGGCTGGTCCTTTTAGACACAGCTAGAAGACCAGGGCCAATGTAGTGTAGGTCCAGTTCTTACACATTCCGATAATCTGATAGAGGAAAGCCAGCTGTTGCCATTGCCACCAGCATGACCTTTAATTCAGGATTGAATGTTACACAGATGGATAGACAGACAGAGAAGCAGAGCAGACAGACAAGTGGGTGGGGAAACAAATGGACAGGTGGGCAGACAGGCAGATACAAAATCTCATCAGTATTAGGGGTATTCCAGGAGTGGATGACTAAGGGCAACTTCTTTGTACTTAATAGTGAGTTTTTAAGAATGCAATTTGAATAAATTATAACTGATAGTGGATGGACTCTGTCATCTTCATATACACAGAGGCTCCACATTGGCTCAGATTAATTGGGAAAACTGAAGCAGTACTTTACTCATTACTACTAGTGACTGGACAAAAGTCAAAGCTACAGAGCCCACAACTAGCCAGATAAAAACATTCTGGCTGATATTGCATAAGAGCTCTTTCCAGGCTGGGTGCGGTGGCTCACGCCTGTAATCCCAGCACTTTGGGTGGCCTAGGATCATGAGGTCAAGAGATCAAGACCATCCTGGCCAACATGGTGAAACCCCGTCTCTACTGAAAGTACAAAAATTGGCTGGGTGTGGTGGCCTGTGCCTGTAGTTCCAGCTACTCGGAAGGCTGAGGTAGGAGAATAGCTTGAACCCAGGAGGCAAAGGTTGCAGTGAGCCAAGATCGTGCGATTGCACTCCAGCCTGGTGACAGAGTGAGACTCCATCACAACAACAACAACAACAACAACAAAAAGAGCTCTTTCCAGCAAGCCCATGTAGATGGCAGAATTCTCAAAAGAGATGAGAGATGTTTCAAAATTCAGATGCATTTATCCCCTAATTTCTAAGTTTGCAAGACTTTTTAGACTAGTTGATAACTTCTGATACATCCTAAGACATACTCGCAAAGTAATGAACAATAAAATCCTTTTTGAAAAAGACCTTTTTAAAAAAAGATGTGAATTACGAAGTTAGTAAACTGAACAATGAAACAACTGAAATTCTAAAATATATTTCTGCATTTAGAAAAATCTCGGTGTGGTGGCGTTATTACTAACTCATCTGGAGCGATTAGGAATCCCCCACAGAATGAAATGCATGACAACATCACTTGTGTGTGGGAAATCAAGGCGAATGCATCTGATCATATACTGCTGGCATTTCCACATCTTGAGTAAGTCCTAAGCTGTTTCTTACGTACTTTGTGTAGCTTTTTAACTTTCTTATTTTGTTTTTGACAGATAATAATTGTATATATGTATAGGGTGGGATGTGTGTTGGGACACATGTATACATTGCGGAATGATTAAATCAGTCTAATTAATATGCACGGTGCCTCACATACTTACCATTTCTTTGTGATAAGAGCAGTTAAATGCTACTTTTCTAGCAACTTTGGAACATACAATACATTACCATTGCTAACTATAGTCACCATGACATACAATGTATCTCTTGAACTTATTCCTCCTGACTAACTGAAACTTTGTACCCTTTGACCAAATTCTATCTCTCCATGCACCTCCACCCTTACCCCCAGCCTCTGTTAACCAGCATTCTGCCCTCTATTTCTATGAGTTTGGCTTTTCTAGATTCTGCCTAAAAGTGAGATCATGCGGTATTTGTCTTTCCACACCTGGCATATTTCACTTAGCATAATGTCCTCTAGATTCATCCATGTTTCAAATGACAGAACATCCTTCTTTTTTAAGGCTGAATAGTATTCCATGGGCATATATACATTTCCTTTATCCATTCATCCACTGATGAACACTTAGATTGTTCCCATATCTTGGTTATTGTGAGAAATACTGCAGTAAACTTGGGAGTACAGATACCTTTTTGACATACTGATTTTAATTCCTTTGGATTTACACCCAGAACTGGGATTGCTGAATGATGTGGTAGTTCTATCTTTAGTTTTTTGAGGAACATCCATACTGTTTTCCATAATGGCTGTACTAATTGACGTTTCCATCAGCAGTGTATAAGGGTTCCCTTTTCTCCACCTCACTGACAACATTTATCTTTCTTCTTTTTATAATAGCCATTGAGACAGATGTGGTGATATCTGATTGTGGTTTTAATTTCCTTTTTACTGATGATGAGTCATGTTGGGCATTTTTTTCATACACTCATGTGTCATATTGGGCATTTTTTTCATACACTCATGTGTCTCAAAATGTGTCTCCTTTTGAGAAATGCCCATTCATGTCCTTTGCCCATTTTGTAATAGAGTTATTTGGTTTGTTGTTGTTGTTCCAACCACTGTTGTATCAACAGCTTGTTCCTTTTTGTTATTGAGAAGTATTCCATTTGTGTGGATGAACCAGGGTTTGTTTGATCATTCCCCCACTGAAGGACACTTGTGTTGTTTATAGTCTTTTACTTTTACAAATCAGTCTTCTATGAATGTTCATACACAGCTTTTCGTGTGAATATGAGCTTTTGTTTCTCTGGGATAAATCCCAAGAGTGCAATTGCTAGGTTGTACGGTAAGTACATATTTAGCTTTTTAAAAACATACCAAACTATTTTCCAGAGTGACGACCATTACAAATTCTCACCAACAACATATGAGAGATCCAGTTTCTCCACATCGTTGATAGCTAGCATTTGGTATTACATTTTAGCTATTTGTAATTGCATCATTCAAATCCTATGTATGTTTTATAAATTTATACTTAGGTATTTCTTTTATTTTTTATTTTTTGGGGTGATTATAATTGACACTGTGTTTTCCATTTTAGTGTCCACCTGTTTGTTGCTAGTATAGGGAAATACAATTGATTTTTATGAGTTTTCATGAATTTTTAATTAAAATGAAATTGACCTTTTATTCTTTGGATAAGTGTGTGTGCATGAGAGAGGGAGAAAAAGAGAGAGGAGAAAAACAGAGAGGAGAGAGAGAGAGAGAGAAAGAGAGAGAGAGAGAGAGAGAGAGTGTGTGTGTGTGTGTGTGTGTGTGTGTGTGTGTGTGTGTGTTCTGGCCTGCTGGTTAAAGATATAAATTCTAGGGTACTCCAGACCTAATAAGTCAGGAAATTTTAAGTTTTAATGTTTTAAATGGTAATTCACAGATGATAAATTCATGATGAATTTCTTGTGGAAATTAACCCCTAAGAACAAGTTAAATCATTTATTACGCTTGAATTTTGTTTAATTGAAATATGGCTTGGAACAGATGGCTCATCAGATTGAAGTATGAAAGTGATTTTCGGATTCTAGCACTGGCAACATCTGAACAAAACATCACAGTAAAAAACAGCAGCTGACAAAATCAGATAACTTCCACAAAGCAAGCTGGGAAGATTTGGCAGCCCACTTTCCTCTGGGTGGGTCTACTGCCAAACACTTGTAAATGCATTATTTACAACTTGGAGCCACGTAGCAAGCAGCCTCTCCCTGTTCCTGGGCCCCCCAATCACCACATGGTGAAGTTGCCTTGATTTCCCAGGCCCTGCCCTTGGCCCTAGGCTGTGAAGTACTCTGCCGGTTGGGCTGCTTCCAGGGGCACATTTTGTGCCAGCCTCCTCTTTCCTCTTCCGATTAAAATCCCATTCCCTTAAAGCAGTGGCTCTTAGAGAGGAAAAGTAGGATCAAAGGAACCCATGCTATGTTTAAATGACTGCCACGCTTTTACTCTATCGTCAACATCTTTGTAGTAATGAAGTGAAGTATCTGTCTCATAGCATGCCTCTAAGGTCTTCTAATGAGGAAACTGAGTGGCATCCATGGTGTTTGCTTCCCCAGTCTCGACTGCACCAATGAATATTTTGAAATCCTGGACGGTCCTCCATCCTCAGCAAAGTCATTGGGGAGGACCTGCTCTGGCTTCTGCCCCACCTACATATCCTCCTCCAGCTCAATGACCCTCGTGTACTTCCGAAGCTTCAATAACCTAGGAAAAAACTTCATTGCTTATTATTATTCTGCACCCAAAGGTAAGCATAGTGGTAAAGAGCAGCAGTTCCAGAGCTGGACTCTCTGGCTGGGTGCCAGTCACTGTCCTATCATTCTTACTCTGTGACCTTGGGCGAGCAACTTGATCTCTCCCAGCCTCAATTCCTTTCCTGTGTCATCGGGACAAGGGACCTTTACTTTCCAGGTTTATTGTGAGGGTTGCATGCAATTAGGTAAGTAAAACACTTTGCAAAGTGATGGCACATCATAAATGTTTAATAATGGGCTGCTTTATCGTTAGCTTTTTCATTTTACCTAAACATCTCATCACAGTCAGTCAATTAGAAAGTCATTTCTGAAGTTACTCTGAATCTAGTACTAGTTAGGTGTTTTAGGACCTGCAGAAGAAACTGTAGTCCCAGCCTGAGAGAGGCTCAAGTACAACCAAGAGGAAGTTTAAGGTAAATACATGGGGTATGCATAGAGGACAAATAGAAACACTAGAAGAAGGCAAACAATAGGACAGATAAATATACCAGAATATACTAAATTGACATATGCATGCAACTCTGCAAAAGACATTAGGAAAGAGAGAGAGTGCAATATAGGTTACGAGTATTAAGGAAACACTGAGGGGAAACGGCCTGTAAAGCTGGCTAGGCTATAGGTAGAGAAAGCAAGACAGCACATCAGGTGAGGGAACAGCATGGGCTAGAGATAGGATATATAAAGTGGGTGGCAAGAAAGCAAGAAGGCAGATGGACCAAGCCAAGGGTGCCTGTTGAAGTGCAGGGTACTCAGGGTTAGGCAAAGTAACAACAACAGTGATCAAAATGCTCAAAATAACATCTAACACTTACTGAATCCCTATTATATGCCAGGCAGCATTTTAAGCACTTCATGTATGTTATCCTTACACAGACCCATGATTCTTCCCCTTTTACAGATTAGGAAACTGAGACTTAGGAGGTTCAGCAATTATCTGAGGTCCTGCATTATTCACCACTAAGAGAAAACGGGCAGAGCTCATGAAACTGCAAATAACTAGTATCCACTTTTTCCAAGACATTGTTCAAAACAGTCTCTTGTATTTTACCAAGTGCCAGGGTGACTCACTGAGCAAGCTTTGGGAACATGCTATAAAACACAAAGGAGATGCTCTATGTACCAAAGTAGATCATGACAAATCACCATAATCCGCGTTAAACGACTATTGACGATGTATTTCCTTGTATTTGCAGAGGCAGTGTCGCAGACTCCACATCTAATCAGTGAGTCGCATTCATGCTATTACTCAAATTGTACTCCCTAATTTCTTCTTGTGTCCCCTCTCCCAGTGCTTTTACTCTCATTATTTGCTCTGTCTCTCGTAGATGATTCCAAATTCCCTGTATAAATCTTCTGTAGATGAGAGATTCTGTCTGCACAGTTTTTGCATAAATATGATGCCCATTTACACTGGAACCAAGTTATGCCTATCAATGATTGAGTCTCTGTATATTGATAATTTTTTATTTGATCTCCTTTTTTGTTTTTATCAAAGCCAATGACTCACCTAATCAGATACTCCACTTTTAGGGAAAGTTAGTAAGGCAGAAGCAAGCAGAAGAAACAGCTATTTTCCCCAGAAGGACACTGATTGTGACTGTTCGCATTTTTGCATAGAATAGCACAATTTAAATATTGTTATATTTATGGTAACTGAGCAGAAAAAGAGAATATTATTTTTGTTGGACCTCACACACATGAGAAACATAAAGACCCACATGAAAACAGAGTTTGATTTGAGAGGTCACATGTTATGAAGATTGCAGGGAAAAAGAATCAGCCAGAATCTTAGCATTTACTGAAGACTGATCTCAGAATGCTGCCTTCTTGACTTGCCTAAGTCATCCCTTCTTAATCATGGGAGTCTTCTTATATCCACAGCCATCCCGATAGCAACACCCACAACAGTAACAGCAAGAGCAGGTAAGCCCTGAAATGTATTCATTCATTTACTGAGTGTGTCCTTTCCTCTCAGCACCCGCATTTGTATCTGCACCTGTATCTGCTTATGCACAGAAACTGGACCAACTGCAAATAGTTCATCTATTTGCAAATGGGACACTTGACTCTGCCCAAACTTTTAGAGCCATTCAAAACATTTGGGGTCTTTTCGCTCTAGCATCCCAAGATGAGTGAAGTTCATTTTTTGGTACCTTTCAGGGTCATCAAAGCCTGAGCAGCTTACAAGTACTTTCTACTGGGGTTCTGTCTTTCCACCTTATAACCAGTACTGATCACAGTTAGCTCCCCATCTGCATCACCAATAGACTTTAGCAAAGTAAGTGGAGTGTCAGAGCCATTGCAGAGGCAGTGAGATAGAATAGCAGAGAAAAAATCGTGAACTTTGGAACCAGGAGATCTGACTTTACATCTGCTGCTTACCAGATGTGGGACGGAGGGTGAATCACTTTGCTTCTCCAACTTTCAGTTTCCTCATAGATAAAATTGGTACACCAATACTCTTCTACTTACTTTCCTGAGTTATGAAAAAGATGGAGGTGAACACACACACATGCACCACACACTTTGTAAAATCACAAATCACTGTGCAAATTATTTGTTTTTCTGCACTTAGCCAAAACAAATGGGCACATACCTCTGGAAAAATAGATACTCAATTAGTGGACTTCTAGTGCTACAGACAATCCTAATGGCTTTGCAACTTCCAACTAAGAGGTTGAATAGTTGACCAAGTACAAGGTTTTCCACTAGTAGAAGTAGCATGGGGTGGGGAGCTCAACACTCATGGGAAGGGTGTTGCCCCCAGAGGACAACAGTTACCGGATCTCTCTCTGCAGGGGATTGGCCGGAGCTACGTCTGGTGGGTGGCTCTGGCCGGTGCTCAGGACGCGTGGAGCTTCTCCACCAGGGCTCCTGGGGCACTGTGTGTGACGACCTGTGGGACCTGAATGAAGCTGAGGTTGTGTGCCGGCAGCTTGGGTGTGGTCAAGCCGTGTCTGCCCTTGGAAAGGCCCACTTTGGCCCCGGCTCAGGAGACATCTTCCTGGACAACCTCCAGTGCGCTGGTGTGGAGCGCTACCTGGGCCAGTGCGCCCACTCGGGCTGGTCAGAGCACAACTGTGGCCACCACGAGGATGCCAGTGTCATCTGCTCAGGTATCTTCTCCCCACTAATATGGGCACTGCCAGTCCCAGAGTGCTTCAAAAACCTCCCTGCCAGTGTTCAGAGTCAGCCTGGAACAAAAACAGGATCCTCAAACATTTAGCATTCGATTTTTGCTGTAGCTTTTCTGACTTGGTTAAATAGATGAGGTTTTTTCTGCTAGCCTCCAGTATAAAACCTAATTTGGTAGTAAGTATTACCAAAGGTATGTGTGCTTTACTGAAATATGCAAATAACATATTTAATGATGAGAATTTTTTAATGCTGGGAATAAGGAGCTCATTGAAAGAGGCGGCCCTCAGTAGCAAGGCTGGGGGGACTTCAGATCCAGGAAGACTTGAGTCTGGCTTCCAGAGCCTGTGCTGACACACAGACTGTATGTGAGCAACACTCAAGCTCTCTCTTAAGCATATTGGTAATTCTTACTGCCATGTCCTCACTCAATCACACCACCAAAGAAATCTGTGCACTAACCTGACTTATTTCAATTGGCTTGTGACAATTTTAAAAATATATTCTGGATTTTCTTGTGTATAAACAGTTAGCTGTGAGTAAGTTAGCCACCTCTGGATTGTCTATTAATAATCGTTTCTAATAATGAGATGCCTTTTGGTAAACTAACAGCTGTAATACCTGATGTGACTTGGAAAAATCAGGAATCAGAACTCAAAGTAGGAGGGCTTGCTGCATAGAGTTGCCCATGTGAAAAGCAGCTCAATTGCATGTCAGTACCTGCTAACCATGACCTTTAATTGGAGGTGCATACTTAAAAACATTGTCTTATGTGTTGGTACATTCATTTGCCTGTTTACTTTGTGACATCTTATCATGAGTGACATGTATCCTCGTGACAGTCTCATGGGTAGATGTTATTCCCATGTCTCAATCTTCCAGAGGATGATTGTCTAAATCTGAAATCCCCCCAAATACGCCCAAAGTGAAACTCACCTGCTACAGAATTGATGGTTTAAGTCAGATCATTCCAAATGTACCTTTGCATCTGGCCACTTTTACATAACTTGGTACAAACCAACAACCAGAGAGAAACTTACTTTCATTATCTACAGATGAATCTGCTTCTCCCAGTACTATGTTTTTTAAAAGGACCAATTTTTCCCACATCAGATTAATAAACACGTATAATGATGGAACTAAAAGCTTTATCTTCCATTGTTAAAGTCAAGGTTTCCAAAAAATAGTGACATTCTTATTCTCTCTATAAACAGATGCTGAAGAATCACTCGCTAACAGTACAGGTCAGTCACATCTTTTGTTGTTGGGAGTTAAATATCAGATGTTCTTGATTTTGTCCTTAAGCTATTTGTTTTTTCAGTTCTAAGTTCACTCTTTATCTAAACTGCAAGGATTTTCACACCACTGAGATTCTATTAGAAAGTCTTATTTAAAAATACTTTTGATTTTTTACATGTGATGATGATGATATGTGTGTGTGTAAGTCTATATTTTTTGGAGATGCATGGCCTTTTTGCATATGATATTCCTCTGGCTCAGGCCACTTTCCCAGCTCTTCCCCTGACTAGCTCCTTCTCACTTTTTAAAGAGGTGTCCTCCAGGCCCTTACTCTCTGTTGTTCCCTTCATAGCATCCTGTTTTTCCCCGCTTTGGCCCATTTATCACAGTGTGCAATGGTGCACTGTAGCAGTGCCTGCATTTGACTAATAAATAGACTCTGGGCTCCCTGAGGACAGAAATCACATCTCTGGTTTAGAGCTGTATCATCAGCGCCTAACATAAAAGACAATCAATGAGTACTTAAAATGAAATTAAATTGACTGAAGACCTCACAACCTGCAACTCAGGAACACATGAGAAATCTAAGGAACAAGCCCCAAGGCTTAAGATTGGGGAATGTTCCTCCCTAACCGTCTCTGAGCTGGCACTGGTGGACCTAGGTCAGGTCTTTTGGGAACTCACATGCTGTGTCTTTGTCTGCAGAGGACCGGCCAGAGCTGCGGCTGGTGGATGGCTCAAGCCGGTGCTCGGGGCGCGTGGAGATTCTCCACCAGGGTGCCTGGGGCACCGTGTGCGACGACCTGTGGGACCTCAACGAAGCTGAGGTTGTGTGCCGGCAGCTGGGGTGTGGGCAGGCTGTTTCTGGCCCTGGCGAGGCCCACTTTGGCCCAGGCTCAGGAGACATCTTCTTGGACAATCTCCAGTGCTCTGGGGTAGAGCACAACCTGGGCCAGTGTGCCCACTTGGGCTGGTCAGAGCACAACTGTGGCCACCATGAGGATGCCAGTGTCATCTGCTCAGGTATCCTCTCCCTTCTCAGCCAGTGATTTCTGATGCTGCAATTGTGACATTTTGAAACTCTGCATCCTGGGTGGCATTTTCATCCATCCATCCATCCATCCATCCATCCATCCATCCATCCATCCATGTGTCTACCTGTTTCTCAAGCATCTCCTTTGGATGCCATGGGCAGCTCTGGTTGCAGGGGAGAGGTCTCTAATTATTTGGCATGAGCACCACCTGGGCACTACAATGTAGATTCCAGGGTCCTGCCCCCAGATATTATGACTAAGTAGAAAAGGGGCTCTGGAATATGCATCTCAACAAGTAGTCCAGGGATTCTGCATGAGAAGGGCCAAGGGCAACAGCCCTGGCTGCCAAGGGGCATAGTTGACCCAGCTGCTATTCCCCAGCCTCCTGGGCCAAGGACCCTGACAGAGGAGGGTTGAAGTTGCCCAAGGGGTAGTTCTGGTACTCTGGGTTTCTATACCTTGTCACCCCAAAATAGATTAACTTGTTACCTTTCTTTATGCATTCAGATACCGAAGACCTACCTCCACCCACACCACCAGGTATGTCCATATTGTTTTCTAATTCAGTAATAATAATAATAATAATAATAGCAGCAAATACCTATAAGTGCTAAGAACCAGGCACTGCTCTGAGCCCTTCACTTATATAACTCTTGCAATCCCCACAATAGCCCCTTGAGGCGAGTTCTTGGATTATTTGTATTTTCCAGATAACCTGAGACACAGAACGTTAGCGAGGTACCCAGGGCTAGCCAGGGTATCTGAACCCAACCTGTCGATGCTCTTGGCCATCAATCTCATTTACCCATTCATTGGCTCAGCTACACAAAGACCAGGGGAAACTATGGGGAGACGTTTTGCTCAGATCATTGCTAATCATCAGGACAATCCTGCAAAAAGGCATTATCTATTATATTTTACAGAAGAGAAAATTGAGACACAGAAAGGTTAAGTAACTTTCTCAGGATCACTCAACAAGTTAATGACCCAAATTTTGACACTGATCAGTCTGGCCCCAAAGTACATGCTCTTAGGGATCTTATGACTTTTGCCTCTTTTCAAAGATCTTATAATTGAATTATTGACTAATATTCATCTGTAATTAAAACCAAATATTAGAAAAAACAGACCAACCACATGCACTGTGAATTCTGAAATGATGCTGAAGGTGATTGAAAGGTGATTTCACAGTTGAGGATCAGGGAGATCAAAAACCTGCTGAAGATAACTTGGTTAGAAAGTGGCAGGACTGGAATTTGCAAAGCCCTCTCTTGCCCTTTGAATGAACCTGGCTGTCCCCTACACAGCCTCAGTAAACAAAGACAAGCCACCAGCCATTGGCAGAAGCATCTCTCTTGGGAACTTGCCTGGAGAAGACCTCGATGTGTCCTGGTGTTCTTGGGGGAAGGCCAGATTTACCTATTGGGACCACGAGTGAGAAGGGAGGGATTGTCTAAAGTTAAAGGGTCATGGTTAGGGTCAAGGGCAGTGGATATTCCAATGAAGACTGATCTGTAGTTTTCTCATTTTATGGATGGCAGGGAAATGAGAAAAATGAGATTGAGTGAAAGGAGCCATTCTGGTTTTCTATTGCTCCCCAAAACTTAGCAATTTAAAGCAACCACCATTTAGATGTATGCCATGTCTTTGAGGGTCAGGAATTCAAGCCGGGCTCAGCTGGGAGACCCTTCTGCTCCACAGAGCATTGAGCAAGGTTGCTCAGTGGAGTTCATCTGATGACTGGTCTAGAGAATTCAAGACAGCTTCACTCATGCAGTTGGTGCCTTGGTGGGGTCGGCTGGAAGGACAGGCTCAGCCACAGCCCTCTTCCTTTTTAGGTGGTCTCAGGTTACAAGAAGTCTGATTACCCTGCTGAGAGACCATGCACACTCAGACTTCTTTTTTTTTTTTTAAATGGAGTTTTGCTCTTTTGCCCAGGCTGGAGTGAAGTGGCGCAATCTCAGCTCACCGCAACCTCCATCCCCCGGGTTCAAACAATTCTCATGCCTCAGCCTCCAGAGTAGCTGGAATTATAGGCGCCCGCCACCATGCCTGGCTAATTTTTGTAATTTTAGTACAGAGGGAGTTTCACCATGTTGGCCAGGCTTGTCTTCGTACTCCTGACCTCAGGTGATCTACCCGCCTTGGCCTCCCAAAGTGCAGGGATTACAGGCGTAAGCCACCACACCTGGCCACACTCAGACTTCTTGTAAGGTGGCCCAGGGCTACATGAGCAAGTCAGTTTTCCCAGAGATGGGAGGTGGAAGCCACCAGTCTCTTAACGTGCAGAGCCATTCCTGCCATATTCTGTTGGTCAAAGCAGTCACAGAACCCACCCAAGTTCAAGGGAGGGAACTTAGACCCCACCTGTGACAGGAGGCATGTCTGAGAATTTGTGGCCTTCTCTTACCTGCCACAGAACCACAGGAAACATTCACTCAGCACTTTCAGTGCAAACTCTCCTCAGTTTGCACTAAGTATATTGATGTTTCTAAGGAAACCCTTTACATTTCACTGATTTGTAAATAAGACTACATATTTTCATCTGGATGTCATCATTATCTGCCTTTTTTTCCCTTTCAGGTTCTTCTACAGCTTCTCAGGATCACATCAAAGGTAGTCATTTATTTTAAATTGAAATAGTCATTCCATGTCAAGAGAACTATCATGGCAAATGCTGGGCAGTGTGCCCAGGACATTTCACAATGGAGCCTGGCACAGTGTGGGCAAGGGGTCTGCTTCTCTGCTGCCATTCTGTGTAATATACTCTGTGAAAAATAGTGACTTTACAACAAGAGGATCAGGCTGGGAAGCGGGATGTGTATCTGCCCAGGTCAGACATCTGGTCCATACTCAGCCTGCCCTGTTTGGGTACAGTCCTGTAGAAGGCACCAGTCCATTATCCCCTGCCACATGTAGAGATTTCAGAAGGTCAAACTCCCAGAGGTTTCAGTGTCAGCCCGCCTGGCCTCATTATTGTAGCTTACAAATGCAGTCAGTGATAAAACTACCAGATGACTAAGAGCATCATCGCTTCCTGCCATCCATCTCAGGAAAGACAGGAATCTGTGGGATTCTGGGAGGATCACAAGTTGGCCAAGGGGAAGAGAAAGTAGAAAAGTTAAGCATCTTCATAGTTTAGGGACAAGGTCAATAAAGAATATTGTACTTTCACATTTCCTCTAAAATACTTTGATGATTCAAGGTTTTCTGCTTCTTTGTGTGAAATCCTGTTTTAAATACATACATGGATGTGTGTGTATCTGTCTATGCTAATATGACAACGTACATCAAACTATTAGATTTCACTGTTATCTTGTATAACCCTTATAAATCCAAAATCCTGCAAGTTCCAGTCTCAGACTAAATATCTGAGTTAAAGGAAACATAATCTACCGAGCAAAAGTGAGGAAGAGTACTTAAAGAAGGTGCTGGTCATAACATCCCCTAACAGATCAGTGTTCCTTTCCCGTTACCTACGATTCATCAGAACCCAAAGTTGTTCTAGAACCTCTTGCTCCCCAAACCTCCCCAAACTCTCCCCTTTCCCAAGCACATGTGGCCTCTATTTCTTCATCTCTCCTTCCAGTCTCTCATTACTCTGTCCCTCCCCAGCAAGCAAAACCCCTACTTTAGAGAGGGGGAGAAAACTGTAAGCAGAAAGGACAAATTGGACATTTTCTTTATCAGGTGCTGAGAGAGAGGGAAAAGCAGGGAACTTTCACACATTGATGCTTTTTGCTTCATCAGAATTAGATTGAATAGACTCTCCTTCCCAAGAAACATTTAAGCTAAAGGTCTGCTCAGATCACTTGTGCATGCCCACCCAGGCCAGTGGTGCCTCATTCCACCAGACCACTGCGTGTAAGCTGGTCTTTATTAGGAGTACACAGTGATGCCAAATGAACACATTCTGACACCATTTTTCCTGTTGTTTCAGGAGGAAGTAACTCTTGTGGAGGGGTTACTTCTAGTCTCTCTGGCTCATTTTCTAGTCCACAGTATCCAGAAAACTACCCAACAGACATCCAGTGTGTTTGGGAGATCCACGTGGATACAAAATTTCGCATAGAACTCATAATTCTAAGTTTGAAGTAAGAAAACTTTTAAAGAGAACGTTCTATGTAAATAAGAATATTTATCTGTGAAATCATATTAAAGGTATTTCTTTTAGTGGAAACATTTGAGAGTGAAAGCAGAAGAACCCAACATTCTATAGTCTTTCCAAGTCAAATTTTGGGTTAACTCTGTGGCACTATCCAATGAGTTACTTCTAAGTTGAAAAATCCAATAAGTGGTTTATTAACATATTTTGATAGTGTTTATTTTTTTTTTCTAAAAATATCACAAAAATCCTCAACAGCTTTGCCCTTATTGTACACTGGGTATCAGTATTTGTCCTCTGAGACTTTCTTATTTGAATCCAAATTTTAAACAGTAAGAGAATTTTCATACACACATTAGCCAACCACTCCAGCTTTGGGACCTGCATCTTCCAAATGTTCTGCAAAGTAAGAGGAGACATTGGTGTCACTGCCTTATCTCTGACATAAAGAGAATAAATATTACAAAGTCACTGACATTTTTATCTCTATGACATAAAATAACAGCTGACATTTTAATGCTGGCCCAGACTTTGTATGCTTTGTCATATTCCAGGATTATACAGTCCAAAGATAGATGTCTTTGTCATCTCCATTAGAGATAAGGAGCCTGAGACTCAGAGAGGATAATTAATTTGCCCAAGGCCAGCCCATCTAGATCTGTCTGATGTCAGTGCCCCATCTGTTCACCAATATGTGGGTCTGTAAAAGAGTCTGCATGAAGCCCTTCTTCTTGTGCATGACACACATCATGTTACAAACACAGCAAGACTGTGGAATTCCATGATCATTAGCTCCAGGCATGCAATGAATTGTGTTCCATAATGACTATACCACAGCCGTGCACTAAGCCAAAAATGCCTCAGGACATGTTACATTTGTTGACTAAAACCCTAGGGACACAATTAGCCACAATGAGGTAAGGACCTTTAACCCACACCTCCAAATTCTATTATGTTATCCATTGTCTGCTCCTTCAAAATTGCTTCCCCTTACCTTCCTCCTGAATAATTGCCATACTACAAATATTCTTCTGTATCCTGTCACCACTTTTATTTTGAAATCAAGTTTTTTCCTACCCAAGAATTCGAGTATGGCAATTATTGTGAAATACAGAAGTAGGAAAAATCTGGCTGTGATGTCTGTTACATGCTGATCATTGGGGTGATCTGACTGTTATGAATTTAGTTGCAGTGTAAACTAGTATTTCCTAATAGTAAAATAGTATTTCCTAGGTAGGTTATGATTGGCCAAAACCATTATAATTTTAAAAATTCTGTTACAAGATTGTAGCTGAAAGCCCCCCACATTCCTTAGCCAAAGAAAACAGAGTTGTGATAGGTCATCTGAAAAAAATCAATAAATATTTTACATTTCAGTGTGCAATTTAAATATAATCCAAATAGTTAATCTCGATGATTGTCACACTTTTTTAGCATTAAATTCTAGGAAGTTTCTAATCTGCCACTACCCCTCCATGTCTATTCAACCCAGGCTGGAAGAGATCCCTGGATGTCCCTATGACTCCGTTGAAATCTTCAATGGTCCCAGGATTGCCTCACTCTCCATGGGGAAGTTCTGTGCCCCTGAAACTGTGATCTTCTTCTCCTCCTCACACATCATGACAGTGGTGTTCCAAAGTGATTCCATGAAAACCAACACTGGCTTTTATGCTCTTTTCAATGCCATTCCGCAGGGTGCAAGGCAGTCAGGTAGAAAACTTCAAGTAGTTTTTGGTGGTTAAAAGACAGAACAGTTTCTAACTTCAGAGAATCCCTTACCAGTAGAGCTCTGGGATTCAGTCTTTTAAGACCCCCACACTTGGCTTCATTAATCCTACTCTATAGTTGCTAGATTTTCCCAACATGAAGGCCACATGGGAGCTACAATGAGGCAGTCATGTGCATTCTGTGTGTGAGTGGCCAGGCTGCTACTGCCTGCAGGCAAAAGCTGGTTGCTATAAAGGGTCTTGAGGCTGCATCTACTATCCACAGCTTCTTGGGAACTGTCCGGAGTGCTGAAATGTGGAAGTGCAACACTCGTATGACAAGACTCCACCTCCTCCACTAGCTGGCCCATTTTACACCTTGCATACATTGAAACCTAGTCTCACCCAAACGAGAGGCTTGGGGATTCCTGTTAGCCATGACCCTGCAGGCAGTCATTCCAAAGCCAGGTCCAATTTGCACACTGCAAGCACACTGCCTGCCAACTGTGAGACTTCTGATGTTGAGCTGCCCCTGCAGAAACCCCAGTAATTCTTTTAGGCCACCAGAAAGTCAGATAGTAAGTCCCTGGATGTGGTTTGGTGTTTGCTTGTATCTGAGTAAGGAAATTCCTTATATATTTCACCCTCAAAGCAATGTTTGAAACTCTGCCCTGGAGAAGCAAGGTAAGCTCCAACATTTGAAATACAGACACTCATTAACTCAAGACCACCATTTAGCCATTCAACAATAGTTACAGAGGTCCTATTATATACCAGGTCCAGTTGTAAGTGTGGGAGCACAGTACAGCTCCCTGCCCTCTTGGAGTTTATACTCTAGTGTGGACGTGGGTAAACGAGAGAGGATCAAAACACAATAAACAAGGAAATAAACAAACTGGTTTTGGGGTAAGGATGATAAAGGACAGAGGTGAAGACTGGGGATAAGGAGCCAGGTGGGAAAGTAGAGGATTCCTGGAGTGGAGTAGGTGCTACTATGGGCTGGATGAGAACAGATGGCATCTCTGAAGACGTGGCATGTGATGAATGACATAGAAAAGCATTACAGGCAGAGAAAAGAGTTGGGCATGTGGAGAAACAGAAAGAAGGCCAAAGTAACAGAGTCAGTGGACACAGTAAGGGGAGGCTGTCCTTACAGTGCCTCCAGAGATAGCAGATAACTCTAATTGGCCACAGCCCTTCAGTCCAGATAGAGCATTGCCACTGTGTTTTCTGAAGTCACAGTCACCCTTGTGGTCCAGGTGCCTTTCAGGGGATTAAATCTACCCTTATCCAAGACATATACAAAAAGGCAGCTGGGAACCTGCTGTCCCATAACCCGGCATTGTGACACAAAAACCATATGTCAAGATCTGCAGTAAACCTGACGTGCTGGGTGCTGACCACACTCTCATTGGTAGCATCCCCTCTAGATGCTGCTAGAGTCCTTATTTTACAGGTGATAAAACTGAGGCTCAGGGAGACAGTCACCTATCAAAGTTTACACAACTAGGAAGCCATAGAACAAGAATTCAGACCCACTTCCTGTCTCACTCTGAAGCCCTTAAGCCTGATTAAATCATTCAGCTTTAAGATTTTGCTCTTGTGTTTGCCTTAGCCACAAACACAGAAGCTAGAAATCACTTGCTACCTAAAACTTATCAAACTCAAAAATAAAATCTTGCTCTGTTTAGAAGATGGACCAGAGTTGTGGCTGGTGGGTGGCTCTGGCCAGTGCTCAGGACATGTGGAGGTCCTACACAAGGGCTCCTGGGGCGCTGTCTGTGGTGACCTGTGGGATCTGAATGAAGCTGAGGTTGTATGCCAGCAGCTCGGGTGTGATTGGGCCATTGCTGCTCCTGGAAAGGCCCACTTTGGCCCAGGCTCTGGAGACATCCTTCTAGACAACATTCAGTGTTCAGGAAGTGAGAACCACCTTGGCCAGTGCCCCAGCTCTGGCTGGTCAGACGACAACTGCGGCCATCATGAGGATGCCGGTGTCGTCTGCTCAGGTAGCCTCTCCTTCCATGATAGCTTCTTTCTGATCTTTCACCCAAAGACATCCTAGTGATGGATGAAGGCCATGCACGGAGCGGGGCCAGGGAATTTTGGGACAGTGGCCCAACAGATGAATGTCCCTTTGGCCAGGTAGACAGAGAATGCTGTGAGCCTGGCTCCATTCTGAGGACAAACACAGCAGAGCCACACTATTGGCTGCCCCTGTTCTCTGCACCTCTCCCATTTCTGGAACTGCTTTTCCAGGTCTAACCATGTCCTCATTTTTGCTTATGTAACATGGGACCTGCCTGCTTGAGAACTGCCCACACTAGAAAGTCACCATTTCTTTGTCTTCATAGAATGTAAGTTAGATTAATCTAAATTTTTCTTGTATGCATGCAGATGCTGGGGACTGGGCTCCAGATGTGACTCCTGCACCCCCAGGTAGAACCAACACTAAATTTGCACTATCTTGGCAAAGTTAAAGAAAAAAAGTAACCTCTCTCCTGACCTAGACACTGGTAGACGATGACTAGGCTGGTGGTTCCCAATTCTGGCTGCACACTAGAATCACTCAGAAAGTTTTTGAAATTCCTGGTGCCCAGGCTGCATCCCTGACCTGTCACCTTAGAGTCTCTGAGGTCACTCCCAGCCATCAGTGATATCTGAAGCTCCCCAAGTGATTCCAATGTGCAGCCAAGGTGGAGAACCAGTGCTCAGGCAAGGAGCTAAGAGCCACATTTCCCAAATGGACTCATATCCAAAACCGTCTTCTGGTGGCAGAGCAAGGGAGGGCAGGAGGAGAAAGATGGAGAAAGACTGAGTCACTATGGCTGAGAAGGTCAATAGGGAGAAGAGAGATCCTGGAAAGGTTGTCTCTTAGGGACATGGGTTAGAAAATGAAAGTATGCAGGAAAGAAAAGATACATCGGATGCCAAACTGTCTCCCAGTGAGTCAAAAGCAGACTGCTGATGAGAAGTAAACCATTTACAGCTCTTCCATGGGTCTCCTGGCTTAGCCAACATAGCAGAGTGAACTTACTGGTAACCCACTCAAAGTCAATGTGTAGCAGTGACCTTCTCCCGAACTCAAGATTCTGAAGCATGTGGGGTCCTGCCTCCTGCAGCCTCCTGCTTCCCAGGGAAGGGTTCTCAGCTGCCCCCTTCTCTGCTCCCTGGGCCTCTGGGCCCTGCCCAGCCTCTTCCTTAACTCTGCCCAGTGACTGCTGCCACACTCTGCCCCCAGCAGGGGCCTGGACACTAGGAAGCTATCAGGGTCAGGGATGCATTTTGTGGCATCTCAGGGCCCAACAAGGTAGATGGCAGCTGTCCCTATCCTGGGCTGGCAGAACCATGGCACACTTGCCAGGACACTCTTTGGAAGTCTCTTGCCCATTCCATTCCAGCTCCCAAGTGTGTCCCAAGATGGAGACCTCCATTCCTTGTGGGCTGCCCAGCTGCCATGGGTTGGGGCAGTAACCTGTAGGAAGGGGAAAGTGATTTCCCCACTCCTGGCTGGGGCCCCACAGTTTCATTTTGCACTGAGACCCATAGATTATATAGCTGCCTGGAGAGGAGGCAGAGTGCACAGAACCCTTTCTTGGGTTTAACAAGCAGCTACACTCTCTTTGATTCCCTCTGGCTTTCCTCTTCTTCCCCAGTGAGGAGTCTGTTCTGGCCTGGGCCCTGGGAGGAAGAAAAGACAGCAGGAGGAGAGGGGATGGTTTTCAGTTCATCAACAGCTCTAGGCCCAAGTCCTCTTGGAGCCTGGGGCTTCAAACCTCAGAAAGCCTTTCTGTCTTCTCTCTGCTGTAATATCCATTTTCTGAGGCAGAGATGCATAGCTGGCTGGAAAAGAGAATGGGTCATGGGATTAAGGAAACTATGGAGGGAAATGCAACCACCTATGTCTAAATAGTATCCCACTGTAAGCATGAATCAAAAAACATTCTTATTGATAGAACACTGCATACCTACCAAGACACAAAAATATAAAGCTTTTGCCATTTAATACTCTGAGATAAATATTGCATATCAAGCATTTTAACAAAAAAAAATTGCTTCTGAGCCACTTTTAGTGAAAAATGTATTCCAGTGATATACTACACTTCTTCTGGCAAAGGACTAATGACAGGTAAGTTGACCGCGTCCATCACTTTCACTGCTCTGCATCTTGCTGTGGTGCCGGCCAAGGAGCAAGACAATGGGAATAAAGGAATTCTCAAGTACATCTGACATGTTTGCTTCAAATTCCTCCCCCACTAAACCCTTGGTGTAAAATCCAAACAATTACCAGCATTCTCATGAGCAGGCTTTCATGGCTGCCCTCCCCTCAGCACCTGCCATGCAGAAGGTGTTGAGGCCACACATAGAATATAGATGTACAGCAGGCCTTCTGTATCCATGATCTCACATCTGTGGATTCAACCAACTGTGGATCGAAAATATTTAGTTACATCTGTATTGAACATGTACAGACTTTTTTATTGTCTTTATTCCCTGGATGATACAGTGTAACAACTATTTGCATAGTGTTATAATACATTGTATTAGGTATTATAAGTCATCCAGAGATGATTTAAAGTATAATGGAGGATGAGCATAGGTTCTATGCAAATACTCCTTTGTTTTATATGAGATTTGAGCATCCACAGATTTTGATATCCTTGGGCAGTGTTGGAACCAATCCCCCATAGATATTGAGGGACAACTGTGTATGCCACATAGAAATCAAAGCCAAGAGGACACAATAAAGGAAAAAGAAGGGACCTTAAGCACTCATTGGACCTCCCCGTGAAGGTCCATCTTTCTCCAATGGAACACTTATCCAACCTGCCTTTCTCCACCCTGGCTCTCAGCTTTCTGGTTTTTAGTTTTCTGAATTTCAGCACTTGGTAAATTTCTACAGGCTTAGTGGTATGGTCATAAGCCCAGTGACATCACTGTAATTCCTAGTAACTGGTCAACTCAAGGATAGCCCTTGGATTGCGGAACCTAGCATATGAGAGAAAACAAGTCATGTAACTGTGTGTGGTTGGTGATTTTCTCATCAATCAGCTGAAAGAAGGGCAGAGGCTCCATTCCAGATCAGGGAGAAAAGAGAAATAAGTGTCTACACCATTTATTAAAGCTCAAGGGTAAAAATAGGCTCATTCATTTGTGCTTAAGTATAAGATGGTTTTATGATGCTAAGCTCTCTCTTGATTTTCTTTGGTTTTGGTTTTTGCAGATATCATTCCTCCAGCCCCTATACCACAAGGTAACTCTCTTTCATTGAAAGCATAACCTATACAGTATTAAGTTACAGATAATTATTTTTATAATTCATAAAAGCAGAATGGACTTCTGTGTGCCCTGGCTACCACAGGGGCAATGGGTGGGATGGAGCCCTCACAAATAGGTGGGTTGTCCATATCTGAGCTGAGCTGGTTTGCAAGGCAGGAGATGGGGGAGAGCATTAAAGAAGTACAGGCTGCCCCCACTACACACACACACTACATGCATGTGTCCAATCCCATTTCCAATATCGCTCACCATCAATTGTAGGGTCCTGCCTGTCCATCATACATCTTCCATCCTCCCTCATGCCCTCTCAGTGGCACAATCACTCACACCAGCCAAGCCACAACTGTGTTTACATCAGCGTGATCGTTCCCCATTTAGTGACTCCACTGCTGAGCTTGATGGAATTCTGGATTCTACATCTGGAAGAATGCAACATGTGTGCCTAAAGAAACCAACCATGGGTCTCTCATCTGCTTTTACAGGAGGAAGTAACTCTTGTGGAGGAGTGATTTCAAATCTCTCAGGTTCCTTCTCCAGCCCTTGGTACCCCACAAACTACCCCACCGACTTGGAGTGTGTCTGGGTGATACACGTGGCTGAGAAATTCCACATAGAACTGATAATCCCAAGCCTGAAGTAAGCAACGTTTTCTTTCTCTACTTTTAAGGCCAGTTTAGATTTCAATCCATACTTTCCTCAACAAGGTAGACTTTTGTGGGATAAATCCTTTCATATTTTCGGCGAGAATTGCTCTGATCATCTGAGCTGTGGAGAGTCATTTAATCACTTAGCTCAACTTCTTATGCAATCAGAGAATACCCCATGGGCCTCCCTAACACCAGCCGGTTGAGCTGTAGCTGGGGCAACCCACACATGAAGACCTCACCCCTTAACTCTTAACGAGTTCCATTTGAGACATAGGCTTCCTCCTCCATCTGAACCCAGATCTGTTCTTCCTCATCCTCATGGTCTGATCTTCATTCTTCTCTCTGATGCTACACAAATCTGCTTCCTGTTCTTGTCAAGAATTTCTATCATGTCCTTACCAAGAATTTTCTTGTACAGACTAAACAGTTCATTCATTCCCCTCATCATGCACCTTGTTCTTCCTACTTCTTTCTTTAACTTACATCACTCATTTTTAAGGAATGTATCTATTTTAATGTATATTTATACGCATGTAGGTGTATATACACACACATGTTTTCATATATACGTACATATACATGAGTAACATTTAAACAAAAATATTACTTTTACTGATAATGTTTAACTCCGGTTTCATCTTGCTATACTGAGTTGCACCTGGGTCATTCTCTCTTCCTGACTTTGTCCCACAGTATGCCCCAGATCTCTGCCACTGCTTTCCACCTGTCGTCATTGGCCACAGCAGTTGAGAATCTGAATGGTTAAATGCTGCTTTTAAAAACATAAAATGTTACTCAGTGGAGGAGGGGCGAATTCCATTGGCTTTACTTGGTGGCTACATAATTTTTTATAGAAAGGACATAAGCTAATATCAGGGGGCATTATGCAGTATAAGCAAAATGCATTTATCATTCATTGATTCAACATACATTTATTCCTTCATTCAGCATACATGTATTTGTTGAAAGCAGTGTGAGAAGAGTTGGTACCGTGTATTTCAAATCTTTGAAATTCACGGTTCTAATGTTTTAGGGCACAGTTTCATTTTATCACTTCTGGGAAATGGTTATTCCAAACAGTTGTAATGGCCCACGTCCCCTATAATGTCAAAGTTATTATTCTAACATGAGTTTCATACTATAATTTTGGAGTATACAAATTAAGGAGCTTTTTAAGGTGTTGCCCAAAACCAGACCATAGTGACTGGTTTCTGAATTTTGATGTTAAAAGTCTAGATTTATTGAAATTTGCTTTTTTGTTTCTCAGAAAATAAAGTTGGTTATTATTTACTATTTATTGTTATTCCAGTTCTCAATTGGAAGTGATTATATACCCCTACAAGACATTTGGTTAGGTCTG